ACTCTCCACAATGGCCCCTGGAGCTACACTTAATCTATTTCAAGGCATGTGGAGACTTCCTAAAACAACCTGGCTAGGAGAGCAAAGCTTGCTTTAAACCAGGGCCTTTCCATCCACCCTTTCCCCAAACCAGCTGGGTTTTCCCTTTTTTTTTTTTTTGTTTTCCCTGAAAACAAAGAAGCAAACCAAACTCCAAAGAGTGTCTGTTGATCCAGCTCCAGGAACCCACCAAAGCAAAGCACTGTCCAGTTGAAACAAGGGTTCAAATCCTTGTGGGTATGACGACCAGAAGCAACTGTAGCTGATTCAACTCAGCCTTGCTGCTTGAGGGGTATCGTTGGGGATATCAGGGAGCTTGAAGGCACCCAGAGCAAGTAGCCAATGTGTCCAGGATCCTTGTAACTTATTCCAGATCCCAAGGATGGTGTAGAAATACTGCTGGAGGAGCAGTCAGCCCTGCTGATGAACAGAGAAGAACTCAGATTTGAGCTTCTCTGCAGCCTTCTCATGCATTTCCAGGACACAAACCCAAACCAGGCATCTCCCAGGAGAGAGAGCTCCCATGTTTGTATGGGATGGTTTTAGGGTGTAGCCAGAGGTGTGGGGACTTTGCACCACTTAATTAGTAGTTTGTCATCAGTCTCGACTGTTTTCCCTCAGAGACGGGATTAACAGAAACATGACTGAAACAGTTTTTCTCGTTTTCGGGTTTGGATGTTTATTATATATATATTTTATCAGAAAGTACAGAGAGTACGGCAGCACTTCCAGCTACCTGCCAGAAGTGAGGAAAAATGGCCACAGATGCAACTGCTACAAGGTCTTTTAAGGCTAAACAGTCCAATAGAGAATTAACACCTACATTATTTATACTTTTGAACCAATAACCAGATTCCCATCACCCTTAGAGTGACACTGACTGACCAACCAGAAACTACTACCTGAAAACCATGAAGAAGGGAGAAGAAAGATGAACAAAGAAAGAGACAACACCCAAAAATTTCCACGTTATTCCATACCTATTACTATACTATAAAAGCCTCAAATTTAAAACCCATCACCATGTAAAAGCACACACTTCTAATTCACTACACACTCGTGATTTCTACTTCACCACTCATATTCAGAAGCTGTCTCCCAAGGCCTCAGGTCAAAAGCAGTGTTTTCCAGGGGGTCAGTGCCTGAAAGCACAGAAAGCTCAAAAACCACAGATTTCTGGGATCCAGCATTAGGGAGCAAGGAACTCCTCAGCATAGGGAGGCATGGATCCAAATGTTCCAGTTTTGTCTTTAAATCCACGTATTATAGAGGGGGTAAAATCTCCAAGACCCAGAGTCCCTTCCCAGGAGCCCCAAAATGGGCAGCAAGGCACAAAAAGGGAGCAGTGTAAAAGGTCTTTCCCCTCAATTGATGCTGGCAGCTTCTCACCACGCAGTCCTGCCTTGCTCAGAAGGCAGCAAGGGCAGATTTGGAGTCTGGGCTTGGCAGGATATTGCAAAAGCTGGAATCAGAGCAGCATCCCAGCTGGAGACTAAAATAACTATGAGATTACCTCCACGGGAGCACAGCCAGCATGGATAATGCTCGGCCTGTTCCTCTCCCAGTTTGCCACAGCTTTCCTGGCCTCCCTTCCATGTTTCTTCAAAGCCTCATTTGCTGCAGGAACTTCAATCCTGCTGAGGGGAAAGAGTAGGCTGAACTTGCCCTGTCTCACAGGGGCTGCTTTGCAGGCAGCCCCCAAGAGCCCCTCTCCATGCCCAGCTCAATCCACCTTTGAGCTCCTCCACTCTGTGTGCAGAACTCCCATTGTTTATTTGTCTGATCCTTCTCTACCACGCTCTGCTCTCTGCAGAGTAATCCCAGCTATTGACAGTGCAGAGGGCCAAGGTGCAAATGGGTTTTCTTCTCCCTCAAGAGCTCTCTTCCCCTTGTGTGGCCAGGCCACCATCAGCCTGGGCTGGGATTTTTAATATGGAAGATATTTCAAACTCAAGCCAAGGGGGTTTCTGGCATGAGACACCCTGTGAGGAGGCAGCAAGCTCAGAGGTGCAAACTGTTCTTGGGCAAGCTTGAAAAAGACATTTCGTCCTCTGGAGAGCCAAACCCATTAGAGATTGCTGCAACAGCTGGGGCTGGAATCCAGCACCAGTATAGTGCACTGTGCAAGGTAGATGTGACACTTGGTCCACCTGTTCAGCTTGGAAATCTTCCTAGATGCATTTGAGGGTTTAGCAACCACTTGAGGGTTTAGCAGCCACAGCTGGCCAGGGAAAGGGGAATTAAGGACTGGGAAGGATGGGGAAATTTAAAGCAGAGATGGGACACCATGACACCAAACAGCCCTGAAACGCTCCTCTGCTTAGTGGAAAGACATCTGGGAAACATCAACAATGTAATAACAATGGTACATCTGTTACCAAGGGCAGGAGTCCTCACAGCTGCAGAGCAACAGCCCCTGTGTCAGGATAAGGGGCAGGATATGTCAGCAGAAGGTAAGGAATATAAAATATAAAACTTTCTAAACCCATCAAGGAAACTGAAGTAAGTTTCAGTATAAAATAATTAAATGGAAGCTAAAACCATTCCTGGGCAGCCTTGCAGGGGACAGAGGACATCATTCCCAGGGTCCTAGAGTGCTGGGGCTGGGAAGGAACCCTGGAGATCGGCAAAGCCAAGCCCTGCTGAAGGAGGTTCACCTACAGCTGAGTGCACAGGACCATGCCCAGCTGGGGTTTGAACACTGTCACAGAAGGAGACCTCAGAGCCCCTTCCAGAGCCTAAAGGGACTCCAGGAGAGCAGGAGAGGGACTGGGGACAAGGGATGGAGGGACAGGACACAGGGAATGGCTTCCCACTGCGCTTAGAAAGTCTTTGGACCTACCAAAAAGATACACCTACCAAAAAGATAAATATATATTTTTTTAGGCAGAAGACTGCTACCTAGAGTCCACGGTACTTGAAAACCATGGGCACAGAAGGTTGTGTAGATGGCTGGCCACTCAACTCTGCAGTGGGAGTTCCAATAGCAATGTTTTGAAGTGCCCCCCTATTAAGAGACGCCATGATTTGTCTAAATTGGTTTTTTTTAATTATTTAAACTGAGGTGAAACGTGTCTCAGCTGTTCTGCAGGAACACACTGGTTAACTCTACACCTGCTGTCCCAGGTATCCCCAGCCAGGCTGCAGCACCAGCCCATGGCTCTCCTGTGGCCCACAGCAGGAGCTCAGCACAGCTCTGGCACTGAGCAGCAGCCAGCAAACAAGGCCTGGGTGTGAACAAACACCACCTCCCCACATGCTCCTTCATCTCTATTCAATGCAGGAGCCATCACAGCGTGTTCTGCTCTACTGCCCCCATCTATAATGGATGGTGCAGGGAGGTGGTGTGAGTAAACGCCAGGCTGAGCTTCTATAGAAATATTTACCTTGCTCTCTGCTGCCCTGGGGCCCAGGGAGACATCCTGGCCTCTGTGATGCCAGCTGGGGACTGGTGCTTTCAGCCTCACGGATGCAGCCAGTATCAGAGGTCACCTCTCCCAGCTGGCTCAACATAGGAGCCTCCTGCTGCAGGCTGTGTCTCACAGGTCCTTGTCCCAGCTGCCATTCGGGAACACAGCAGGCAGGAAGGGAAAGGGAAAAGAGGCAAACAGTAAATGTCCCATGCTCTCCTCCTCCTGCCCCTCCATCCATGCATCTTACCCTGCTGCAGGGAGCACCCTTTGGGCCCTTTCCTGCATGGAGCTGAGCCTACAGCTACACAAACATCCCCAAACCCAAGCACAATGTGGGATTCTTGGAGCTGTCCCGTGCAGGGCCAGGACTTCAGTGATCCTTACAACTCAGGTTATTCTATGATTCTGTATCTCTCCACACTTTCCTCACACCTTCCTTGGCCTCATCCAGCTCTCGGGGATCAATATGCCCCATGGGAGTGCAATCCCTAAGCAAGGGATTATAGGTTCGTGTCCCATCTGGGAAATGATGCCTTGAGGTCCCATCTGGGGTGCCAGAACTGATGCCTGGAAAGGCTGACCTGGAACAGAGACTAGACAGAGCAAAAGGAATAAAATAGGAATTCATTGAAAGGATAAACTTTGGGCAGTGCAAGAGCCTGGCTGGGGCTACACCCAAATCAAATCCAAGATGCATCCCAGTCACCAGTCTTTACACTTTTGTAAGGTTTGGTTCATCTTCATCTACATTCTGGGGTCAATTATCCAACCATAGCCCCAGACTACGAAGCCTCAGCACCCTGGCTTGCCCCCTTTCCCTCGCAGTTGTTTCTGCTTTTTGGGTACTGGTTGTCCTTGATTCTCTAGCTAGAAAGGGATTGTTTTTGTCCAACTAGCCTGTGAAGAGACCTTACTAACACCTAATATGAAGTTTCAGAGTTACACACTAAGCAGCAGAGATTCTGGAAAAATATAAAAGCTAAAACCCAAGGCATCACTCCCTCCAGATGTGCAAACCAGAGCACAACAGCACAGCTGCCCAACTCCCCTTTCTTACCACCACGGCTCAGGGCAGGCTACAGATGCTAGGGTAATGAACAGAGGCATCTCCCTTGCTGCAGCCAGGCTCCCTAGGCCAGCCCAGTGTGTCAAGAATCAATGCCATGAGGCCCAGGGGAGGACAGGCAGCAGCTAGCATGAGGATGAGCATGAATTATGGATGTGCCAGCTTGCTTTGGGAGGACGCCTCCCTCCACAGAAACGACGGCTTGTACTCCACAGAGCACACAAACACAGTGCTGGACAAACCCACACTGTGCTCACTAAAACACAGAGCCCTAGAGACAGCCAGCTGCAGTCTTCCCGAGGTCACCTGGGCTGCAGGGAAGCTCACAGTACTGTGGACATACATAGCAAAGAGGAGGAGAAACCCATCAGGGCAGCTGGTCATGGAATGGCTGCTCACACATGCAGGACGTGGCTCAAGGAGGAAGTCTGGCAGTGGTCAGGTTGTGCTCAGCACTCAGTTGGAGTCACCAAGCTGCAGCCTCAGGGATGCTCTTGTGCTGTCCGTCCATGTCCCTCGGGGCAGGTGGAGCCAACTCCTCTGAAGGAACAGGGAGGAAAAAGCAGAGTAGTTCACAGAAACCATAAAAGATCAAACACTCCCAGCACATCTTCATCAAAAATTCAGAAACGTTTCAAAACTGCCTTGTTTTGCTAAGAAAAAGTAGGTACCAGGTTGGGGTGGGAATGTTAGAAAACTCTGCATTCAGAGAACACAAACCTGTGGTTTTTTTCTAATTTCCAGGTTGAAAAACAACAATACAGGGGAAAAGAATCAGCTCATTTGTCTGAAAAGGTGTTTTCTATTACATACTAGAAACTATATAGAGAGACTTTATATAAATACACATACATTATATTTCAATATATCTACATGCAATATGTATGCATTATATATGCATAATATATATTATTATATAAATATCGTACATGCTTTTTTTTCACTCACCCTTCTCTGACAGATTTCCCAGTTCCTTTCAAACATCCATGGCAGGAACTGGCAGATGGACTATGTATATCCTAAAGGTTCCAAGTGCTCCTCAGGATCCCTTCCAACCCAACCCAACCCAACCTATTGTGTCCCAGGGCTCCAAAGCTGCAGCTAGCAAGCCCTGACATACTCCAAAGTGGGAAGAGACACAACCAGCAAGGGAAAGAGCAGGGATGAGCTCCAAAACCATTTATTGAAACAAAACCAATAGGAATTCACATGAATCCAAAGCTGGGCAAGCAGGAGGAAGGGTGAGCTTTGTCAGGTTTCTTAAAGGGTCACTGTGTTTCTGATCTTTTAAACAACCTCTTCATCCCATTCCATAGAATGCTGCTTTGGGATGGTAAGAGCTTGTTTTTTCCTTCTACTGGAGTAGCATAAAAAGAAATATGTCAACTCATATTATACACACATATGGGCTGTGGAGTTTTTCTGTAGGAAAATATCACTCTCTCAGTTCTTACAATTAAGTAGCATTATACTGATTTTACCTTACTGAATTTTCTGGTTTTTAAACTGGAAACCCTCAGACTTGAAGTCTGAGGGTATCTCAGAGGCCAGCACTCAGAGAGAACCAGTTTAGCAGCCAATCTGGGCATGTCTTGTACAGTACAGCAAGGCCCAGGGTGTTTGCTACAGGAGCTCTAACCTGGATCCCAAACACTGGGAACACCTGAGACACAGGTAAAGCTGGGCTGGGGAAGGACCAGAGCCATACAAGAATGCCATACAAGGGTAATTTTCCCTATAAAACAGACAGTATCTGTACAACGTGTCCACAGCCACAGGAGCCTGGGTTGGGATGGCAGGAGAGTTAATACCAGAGGTGAAAACTTCTGTCTCTTTCTTTAGGACAGGCTTTTGTGAGGCTTGTATCCGTGCTGGATCATGCATGTAAATACAAAGCTTTAGTTGCACTCATGGGCTGACCTGCAACCATAGCTCAGCTTGCTCCAGAGCCCTGGGAAATCTGTCCTCCTGCCCTGCTGCTGTCCCTCCCCAGGCCAGGGACACCAACATGGCAACAGCACAGGGAGCACGATGGTGGGAAGTTGAGAAAAGGGCAAAAACCCCCAGAGGAGCCAAAGTGACCAGCATCAATAGCACCAGCAGGATGTGTGAAGCAGTGGGGAAGGTTTGCTATCTGCAGCTTGAAGGTAGCTCCTTCCCCAGCCAACAGTCCTGCTTTGTTCATCCCTCTCTCTCTCCTAAAAACAGAAGTCCTCCCTGGAGGCTTGAGGGGCAGCTGGCAGCACTTCTGCCCGGGGCTGAGGCTGGCAGGGCAGTGCCAGGCTTCGCCCCAGTACTGAGTAGTCTTGGGGCAGTCCCATGGGAGAGCTGGGCAAACCACAGGCGCTGCAGGGCTAGGAGAGAGGGAGAGAGAACAGCGGTGAGGCCCTTTGCAGGGGGTTATCAGCACAGAAAACACTGAGCCCCAGAGCAGAGTAAGGCACTTACCCTATGCCTGCCCTTCTGTTCCAATGCAAAGGCTTGTGTCCCATAGGAATTAAGAGTCTCCAAAGGGTTGCCAATACTCCCAACGTGTCCTGCAGCTGAGCTGGGGAAAGGATGATGGGGCACAGAGGGAACAGGGCTCAGCTGCTTTTCAAGAATAAGCTGGTAGGAAGGGGGAGAAAACCTGGAGTGTGGAGCCATCTCCTCCCAGGAGTCCCCAGTGCTGGCAGCTTCCATGCTGCTTAATCCATTTAGGTTGAAGGGCTGTGAGGACATGGCCAAACAGCCCTGAGGCTGGGAGATCACCTCTTGGCTGAGGCCATGAAAGCCAGGCTGAGCCAGAGACCCCAGGAGCGGGCAAGCAGAGTCCTGCCATGGGCTAGACTGTGGAGAGGAGTTGGGGCTGTGGCCACACACTCCATTCATCAGCAAGTGATGGTGTTTCAGCTGGCTGGGTGGGGCCATGTGGTCCTGGCACTGGCTGGGCAGGGAGAAGGACTGGTGGGCATTCTCCTGGAGGGGCTGCATGGCTGGCAAGTCTCCCTGCAGCTGCTGGGCCCCAGGTGGCTCCTGCAGGCAGGGGGCTCTGACAGCTGAGCTGGGGGCCCTGCCCCATAGGGTGCCCTGCCCTGGCTGGAGGAAGTGGAACATAGTCTCCCCCCCAGCTGGTAGTCTCCACTGGGAGCCACTGGATGGCTCTTCCTGCTCAGCCAGCTCCAGGAGCAGCCCTGGCACAGCACCTAGGGGCTGCTCCCACAGCAGGACAGGGGGCTGGCCCGGGGCAGTGCTGGGCTGCCCTGAAGGCTGTGCCAGGTGGCACTTCAAGTGCTTGCTCTCCGTGTGGCACGGAGCAGTGTCTCCCTGTGGGCTGGGGGGTGTGCCTGGCAGGGGACAGACCTGCTGCCCTCGCTCATGCTCATCCACTGGAGGGCTAGGCACGTAGGAGAGAATCTGCTCGCTGGCCAGGCTGTCGTTCAGGGATGGGGACTGCTCTGGGCCCATATTGACCATCACCATTTTCTCATCCAGCAGCAGGAGCTCCAGGTCCTCAGCATTCAAGCCCAAGCCCTCCAAAGCATTTAGGAGCTCGTTGGAACAGCTCTCACCACTCTTAATTGAGAGTGAGTTCTTGGTGGCAAAGAGAGGGTCCTCCTGCTGCAAATCCAGCAGCTTCTCTTGGAGGCTGTTGCCACTCGAAAAGGCTGGAGCTGTGCCCATACTCCAGGCACTCCCTCCTGCACCTGGCAAGGATACACCTGCGAGCTGGAAAGTGCTGCTGAAGGAAGGGTTTAGGGTGGAAGGTAGGTGGGAGGCATACACTGCCTTATCCTGTCGCATCACAGTGCCCAGCAGGGACCTAGGGTCGATGCCATTCTTCTGGGAGTGCCCTACATGGCTGCAGGAGGGTTTCTTGGACTTGCAGGGCTTCCCTTTGCTCTGGAGAACGTCAGGGAAGCCCGGGAGAGGGTGAGCGCTTTGGTATAGAAGCGCCTCTCCTGTAGCAAAGGTAAAGGGAAGATGCATGGACCGCTTCCGAAGGTGCTCTCCTCCTTCTTCATCTCTGCAGGGCGAGAAGAGGACACTGAGGCTGACATGCACAAACCCACCCCACAAGTGCTTCTGCAATGGGCAGTCGTGATCCCTGCAAGCCAAAGCCCCTTTGCTACAGACAGCATGCATGCATAAAAATACACACACACAAAAACCAAACATCTGCAGCACGGCCAAGCATCACCCCTACTGAGGGGTAGCCTTGCAGATGGGGATGTGGCTGAACACCATCAAGCCCAGAATCCCATAGCTACTCCTTTAAAAGGCACAAGCAGCAACGACAAATCCAACATCCTGGCCTGCTCAGGATGTTCCAGAGCCATGGAAAAAGCCAGGTTGTGCCACGCCAGCCCCAGTACGTACACAAGGGGTCTCTGTGTGACCACGATGTACTCGGGTTTGCCGTTCTTGTAGACGAGCCTTGCGTTGGCCTGCACCCACTTCCAGCGATTGTCCTTGGTCAGCAGCCGGAACACCGTCAGGCCACTCTCCCCCGTCCTCATCACTGCCGGGAGAAAGCACGAGAGCTGTCACCATGGCACACTGCCCTTGGCAGCTGGAAACAGCAGCAGCACGGCTGGCACGCAGAGGGGACACCGTGCAGCTAAACACCCCTCACTGCGCTCCTCCTCAAGCTTCCTGCAGTAACAGGAGCAGCACAGTGAAGCACCCGGTGGGGAAAGAGCCACTAGGCTTGACAGAGCAGCATACAAGAGCTGCCCCAGCCCAATCATCAGCACAAGTGACCAGGGAAGGGACTCTTACTCCTGACGTGGTTCTCAGCACAGTACAGCATGTCAGCGGCATGGACAAACTGGTACCCAGTGCCACCCATCCGCAGCTCTGCCTCAGTGTAGCCCAGGACGATCTTCCCCCTGAGAGACAGCACACCCAGCTCAAAGGAAGGGTGGAGGTGGGATGTCTGGAATGGAGGACTGGAAGCTCTGCTGCTTACTTGGCATCACACGCCAAGGGGGTGAAGTCTAGCTTATGCTTGGTCCTGAAGATCATGTTCTTGGTTCGGATCTGTAGGAGGGACGGGGCCTGCAGGGGAGTGGAGATGGCGAACAGAGCAAGCTGGGGGGGCAGGGCAGAGCCGTCTTCAGACCTTTTGTTCTGCCCATGAAGGAATTTTAACCTGCCTTGAAGGTTTAAAGCCTAGGAAGAAAAGCTCAGCTCAGTGCCAAGTGAGAAGGAAGTGAGCTGCACAGAAAGCAAGACATCTGTCTGCAGAGTTGGTGTAAACAATCATCAAATCACAGGATGGTTTGGGTTTGGAATGATCTTAAGGATCATGTCATTCCAACCCCCCTGCCACGGGCCAGGACACCTTCCAGTATGCCAGGTTTCTCCAGGCCCCGTCTAATCTGGCTCTGGACACTTTCAGGGATGGAACCATAGTTTCATAGTTTCCCTGGGCACCCTGTGCTCTCCAGTGGAGAGAGGAGGAGGGATGTCTACCACATACTTGATCTTAAGATATGCTTTTAACAAGCAAAACACAGGGCAGAAAAGCACTTTTGTTCAAGATTCAGCATTTCTGAGAGGAGAGGAACAGAATTCACAGGGAAAGGCTGTAGGTGCAGGCCAAACCAATGAAAAACAGGAAAAGTCTCTTGCTGAGAGAGGCAGTTGCTGCACATGGCAGAAAGGAGCATGGGATCTTTCCAGGGGGTGGTTTCAGTGGTGGCATGTACCCCTGTGCTGAGCCTGCTCCTCTCCTGCTGGGGGTCTGTACTCACCAGGAAGCCAGAGGAATTATCCAGGAGGCAACGAAAGCGGCGCACAAAGCTCCTCTCCAGGAAGGAGGAGTTTTCTGGGGGAAGCTGCTCTGGATTGTAGATGTCAGCAGAAGAGTCAAGACTCTTCCCTGCTGTGGAAGAGAGGGACTGAGAGAGGATCAAGCAAGGATTCACCCCAGCTTGGTTGGAGGTCCCCAGCACTGGGCACTGCAGCAGTTTGCAGAGCACAGCAACAGAAACTGGGGAAAAGCCAAAACATTTGGATGAATCTGTGGCCAGAGCCACACACGTGCAGTGATGACAGTGAGGTGGCCTCCCAGCATCCCCGGGGAGCCACACACCCTATGTCCCCCAGGATGGCAGCCTGCCTTTACCTGCTGGAGAAGGCTCACCCTTGGGAGTGCCTGCTGGGTCCAGAGCCCAGTGGAGGTTGCGCCTGAACTCCGGCTGGTCTTCGGTGTGGATCAGCTCAAAGATGCTCTGGTGCATGACATCTGTCTAGAGGGGACATGTCACCTTGTGAGCTCTGCAGCCTGTCCCCAGTGCCAGGTTTCATGTCCCACCTGGGAACAGCCTGTCACAGCCACAGTTGTTTTCATCTTACCCAGCTTCCCTGGTGCTCAAATGGGTCCCTGGCTGAGGTTGGAACCTTCCCCCCAGAACTGACATTGGCATGTCTGGCTTTAAGGATCCCTTGCCTGTGTTGGGCCTGACTTTTCCCCCACCAGAAGCCTAAAGAGCCAATACAGCTTCCCTCTGACATCTCCATAACTCAAAATCCTAGTGCTGACTTAAGAAAGGAGATGAAAGACATGGATTTGGGGACAAAACAGCAGCAAGGCCACCCCACCCCTAGACTACTCCCAAGAGAACCACACTCTGGGACTTGCTCCCTCTGCCCAGGTAGACAGGCCTCACCTAGTCCAGGTGCTGGGGACAGCCAGCTGTGTGCGGGTGACACCAAACCACAGCAGCTGAAGGACTGAACGTAAGTCCCACTTCCCTGTATATCTGACCTAGTGCCCTCCAGATTACCTGGGTGCCCAAAGTGCTGAAGCCTTGTGGGATTTACCAGGATTTGAGTGGGCACCCCAGGCAAACGGGGCAAGGAACCCCAGATATCTCACCACAGCCACAAACCCCATGAATGCCCATCAGCACAGCTGCTGGAAAGTATCTATGGGCTGATGAAGTCTCTTGTCACCTACCAGTGACCACATCTGGCAATATGAGGTCCAAATTCCCAAGACCAAGGAAAAGCCCCAAACAGCTCCCTGAGACCCTGTGATCCCTGCAGAGTCTCCTCCCTGCAGGGAAGTTTGGGGTGTTCTTCACCACCAAGGAAAAATCAACTCTCCACAGCAAGTCAGAGTCCCACCAACCTGATGAAATCCCAGATAGTCCTGGATTGTATGTGAGGAGTAAAATATCAGCCCTTCTGATGTCACCACCAGCACGAAGCCATTGAGAGCCTGTAGGAGAGAGGAGATCAGTGGGTACAGGCCATGATCACATCACTTTTCCAGCAGGACACTGGTCACCCAAAACCTGACCAGCTGACAGCTGAGCCACCACAGATGGCTTCTCTGAGATCATGCAGCTCTTCCATACACTTGCCCGAGAATATCCTAATCCAGACTGATGGAAAACTGTGCTTCCATCCTGGGACCATTCACTCAGACTCAGCTTTGGACGTTTATCTATCCCGTGCAGGGAGTAGATAAAAAAACCTCTGAACTTCTTACAGGATGAAAGCAGACACCATCAGGAACTGGTCCGTTCTGGTGGAAACGAGCTGTTTCCAACAGCCTTGAAGGCTTTAGCAGCCATGTGTGGCCATCCCAGGTTCCAGAGGAGTGGCCTGGAGAAGGACCATGGTGTGCCTGGACTGTCCATGGGCAAGGACCAAGGCCAAGGAAGGTGTCGTCTCTGCTGCCTGCTGTCCTCAAGGTGGCCAGTGCTGAAAGGGCCTTAACCAGTGGAAATGGAAAACCAAAAGCTAAAACGTAACAGTTTGGATTTGAAATTGCAGCAAAACCAATGTGATTTTTGAAAAGCCAATTTCTTCCAAAGCAGCAGGGAATTTAGGCTGAGTCTGGTGCCTGAACTTGGAGGAAAGCCACAGAATCGCTGGGTGACCCCAGAGAACCTTTTCCTTTCAGCCAATGCACCTCTAAGATCACCACCTCCAAGATCACTTGCTCTGGAGCACAACCTAGCTCATGCACACCCCACACCCCTTAGGGCCAAATGCTGCGCTCTGTTTTCACAAAATAAATACCCAAAGCTGCTGTGCCTGTGTAGGTTTGAAGCACCAAGCCCTCCCCACAGAGAAGAGCAAATGCAGCCATTAATCTGAAGTTTCCATTGCATTTTTAATGTTACACACTCAGACATTTCACAGTTCACTGGCCCTTCCATCCACCCCTCAAGCCACAGGATTGCAAAGTCAATATTCAAGGGAGCATTGGGCTTCCCAGCAGGAATGGGCTGAGCCAATCAGAGCCTCTGTCTTACTCAAGAGGGGCTCATTGCCACCAGTTTAACAAATTTGGGAAGTAATTTAGGTTTTTTCCCATAGCTTTTAAAAACCCCACCACTGCCAGGACAGGACACATGAACAGGGCCCAGGGTGCTGGCTGATGGTGTCCTTTACACCTGGAGAAGACTAGAAGGGGCAGAAGAGCTTCCCTACCAGTTTTGGAGTGCAGCTCCTTTCTAGGAGTCCTGGCTTTCCATTCCTGCTCTCTGGCAGCAGGCAGGAGCTCACAGGCAGAACATTTCTGACACAGGCACTGGCAGGATCTAGGGAAGCACCCTCAAGTACTGCAGGCACAGCACTAACCCTTGCAAGCCTCTGTGGCACAGAGCCCAGGGCTTTGGAGACCTTGTCACCCCCCTGCCAGGGCTGAGAGCAGCCCCATGACAGTACTCCTTGAGCCCAGCTGGCAGACATCACTCTGGGCCTCAGTGTCCCCAAGTCTGAAAATCCCCAGAGATACATGGTAGACCCGTGGTGCTGACCAAGAGGAAAGGCAGTGAAACTCCATGAAAATCATTGGTTTATCTTCCCATAAGCTAAAGGGCTTTCACTGCCCTAACACCACCACATACCTCCCCCCCCCACCAAAGGCAACAGATCCCCATGAGGACACTGTGGCAGCACAAAGCAGGACCTCTCTGGAAGGCAGGCCTCCTGCAGCATGGGCCCTGTGGCTTTTCAGAGCCAAAACCATCCTGTACTACTAAACTGGCAGGAAAGCCACAGCAGCCATCCCTGGCCTGCTTCCCCCCCTTCATAATGTACAGACATCAGCATTAATTAGGGCCTGGCATGTAGTCTCGACCAAGTCCAGCTATTGTTGCTGCCAACTCCTGTTTCATTGCCCAGGTCAGAGTTTCTCCCCCCTCTCCGTCCCTTTATTTCAGGCACAAACGCTCTCTGTATTTACTGGGGTTGGTCTCAGTGTGTGGGAATCTGCTGCAGAGGTTAATTAGTGCTGCCAAATGCACTTTAACCCTTTGAGCAGCTTCAGAGGGGGAGAGGGGAAGAATCAGAGCAGACCAAGAGACAAAGGAAGTTTGGCCATCAGAGGTGACAGACCAGGTGGAAGTATGTTTTTAGGTATGGAGGAACGTTTCCCTGGGGGCACAGACACAGATTCTGATCTGCCACACCTAGGGTCACACAGATAGACCCTGAGAGAGCTGAACCAGCTTTTCAGACCCAGTTTGATACCTCTAAAAGGACGGTACCCAACTGCGGGGGGAGCTGATGAGTAGACCATTAACCCCCAGTAAGCCGTGCTGAGCAGATTTGCTATATCCTGAGAAAAAACCCTCAGGTTTCTGGTTGTTAACCAAGCTGGCTTTAGCACTTCTCCACCAGACACAGAGATGCTCAGCTCTTAGGCAGGACAGTAATTACACTTCATGCTGAGTGAGCGGTTGGATGGCAGCTGGGGCTGCCCAGCACGCTCAGCCTGTGCTGGAGGACAGCCAGGCAGGCAGGGCACAGTGCCTGTGTGGGTGCCAGGCAGGCAGGGCACAGTGCCTGTGTGGGTGCCAGGCAGGCAGGGCACAGTGCCACAGCCTGTGCCCGGGTGCCAGGCAGGCAGGGCACAGCAGACCTGTGTCCTTGCAGGACCTCGTACTGCCAGAGCCTGACCTCTTCCCATTCTCTGCACACAGTTTGGGGACAGAAGGTGACTTCCTGGCACCTCTGAACAAACCATGGCAGCTACAGCTTCACCAGCCTCGTCTCCAGCATCACCAAAGGAGACCACTTGGGAAAAACAGAGCTCCTGGGATATACCCACCCACCCTGTGTTTAAGGGATGAGCACACAGTCTATCAGCACCTGTTCATGTGCACAGTGTCACACATCACTTCCTCAGGGTCAGGGGAGACTCCCACGATGTTTTCCTCCCTATTTTCACCTGCATTTGGACAATATTCTCCAGTCAGGATCAGTGTGCCCATGCTGAAAACTGCACTCAAACACCTTGCTCATTTTGGCTCCCATGTTACACCTCTGGCACACTGATATTTTCTGTTCTCTGCCCTCATGTCTATCTCCATACTCAGAAATCCCAAAATGCTCCCTACATATGGACTATTTACAAAAGGCAATTTTTTCCAGTAATAACGGGAAAAGCAGAGAAGAATCAACACAATTTTTGCCCCTTAAAGACCTTTGGAGGTCTTAAACTTCTGCCCAGTGAGAAGCACAGTGAGCTACGCCACATGAAATCACAAATCACCTGCCATCAGCAACAGAACAGCCTGGTTTTGGGGTAAAACTCAAAGGAGCTGGAAGAGGGACAAGAGTAAGATCCCGTGAAGGCACTTGTGAGGAGCACTAACCTGTAGGAGCAGCTCACCCTCTGGAACCTCTGCCAAACCTGGAGCTGGTCCGGTGCCACAGGCTCCATCCCTCTGGGCTTCTTTGGCACCAGGATTCTTCAGAGCAACTGCACCAAGGAAGGGGAAGGGACATCAGTGCTGCAGGAACACACTGCCACAACAGCTGGAATGCTGCAAGCTGGATAGTGCAGGGAAAGCCACCACACAGCCACAGCTCTTTGTTTCGCCCCTCACTAGAGTCGGTGTTAAGAGGATGTTTCCCCACCCTTCAAACACACCCAAATGTTTCGATCTGAGGTTTTTCCTCCCCCCACTGCTTTTGCCCCCCTTTTAACAATCTACAAGTAAAAAGCAGTTAAAGCCAGGGATCCTTAAGACAGGTAGGCATTTGAATCATTGAATTATGGAATCATTAAAGTTGGGAAAAGATCATAGAGCTGCACCATTCCCCAGCACTGCCAAGACTACCACCAAACCACGTCTCCAACTCCCACACCCACAGGTCTTCTGAACACTTCCTAGGACAGTGAATCCACCACTGCCCTGGGGAGCCTGGTCTAATGTCTGACTGCTTTTTGTGAGGAAATTTTTCACAATACCCAAACTAAACCCGCCCTGGCACAACTTAAGGCCATTTCCTCTTGTCCTATCCCTTGGTCCCTAGAAGCAGAGCCCATCCCTCTCCTGTCAGGGAGTTGTGGAGAACAAGGCCCCTTCTGAGACTCCTTTTCTCCAGGCTGACATCCTTTCCCAGCTCCCTCAGGTGTTCCTCACCAAATTTCTGCTCCAGACCCTTCCCCAGCTCTGCTCCCTTCCTCGGCTACACTTCAGCCCCTCAATGTCCTTCTTATTGTGAGGGGCCAAAATGGAACAGAGGATTCAAGGTGTGGCCCCAGCAATGCCCAGCACAGAGGACAGTCACTGCTATGGCCTTGTAGCCACACCACGGCCTTCCTGACCACCTGACAGATGCAGCAGCAGTCTGCCCTACACAGGAGGCATTACAGCAAATCCCAGGATCAGGAATGTGCCATTTTGAAGGACACAGCTCAGTCATTGATGTCTCATTACAGTTCAGCAACACAGTGGGTTTACTCAACCGAATTAAGGCAAGCCGCAGCTCACAGTGGGAGAAAAACAACATGGAAAACACACAGACACCCAAGATCTAAGAGTGGTCGATGCATGATCCACACACGAGGGAATCTGTCACTCAGCTCAGCTGAAGGATGTGCCTGTAAATTTTGTTCTGTGCTTCCCAAGAGAACGATTCCTGAGGATATTTTGGTGTGGATAATTGTTAAAGGGTAAGATGACAACAAGCCTGTGCATGACAGGCCTGTCCAAAAGAGAGCACAGGAAAGCTGGGGAAGCTCTTGCCAGCACCATGAGGACCGAGAACAGCATTTGGCCACTGGTAAACCAGCTGCTCCTGCTGGGATCGGGGAGGAAATGTGTGAAACACCAGCTGTAGCACCACTGTGGCAGCAGACAGAGGGAGCAAGAGCTCTCTTGGATCTCTCTCAGCCCCTGGACTGCAGGGCTGCCAGGTTCAGAAGCAATGGGAGCTTCAAGTGGACTCTGGAAGCAATTGGACAGCGAGTCAGAAGGCAGCAGCCACCAGCAAATAAAGCCAGGCTCTGTGCTCCCTGTGCTTTGCCAAAGCAGCTGCTGAAACTCAGCTCCTCCATCTGCATGGAACTGATCCTGAAGGATCTCAGACACTGCAAAAGGCGGATGTTCCAGAGTCAGGCTGTGGGGGACAAAGTTCTTCCACCAGGCACAGGACAATCCCAAAGATCAACTCTGCTCCATAACCAAAGGCAAAGCACACCCCATTTCTCTAATACTTAGAGAAAAACCCTTGATAAAGCAACAATCTCGCTGCTTCTGGGAGCTCTGGAGAATTCCCCAAGCTCAGCCTGCCCAGACTGTTTCAGGAGCTGGCCAAGGATGAGCTGACACCAGGACTGAGGCTATAGCACGTGTTTGTAAAACTGCGTGTCAGGCCCGAGACAGCTGGGGTGGACACGCACAGGCTGCTGTGGCCTCACTCTTTCCTACCCTGAAGGACCACCCGGGCTCCCCTGTCCAGACTGGAGCTTGCACAAAACCTCGGAGAGGGACAGGCCATCAGGTAGAACAGCATGAGAGAGGCCATGACACCCAGGCAGAGCCCTGTGCTGTGGATGGAGCAGGTTTGTGCCAGTGCCCTTCCAGTAACTCGTTTTTCTGATCGCTGGGAGCAAAATGCAGGAGCTATGAATTATTCAAGGTCTCCAGTTCTCCTCCATGAGCTCCTAGCCCACTGTGCTGGAGGTGAGAGATAAAAATAAACCTGGCTGACAGGAGAGCAGCTAAAGGTGCTGCCCCCTGCTCAGGGCTCTGGTTTAATGGTTTCATATTGCCCCTGCATAGAGAAATCTTGATCCCAACTGCTGCCTAAAAACAGGCTTTGCTATCAGCATCTGGGCTGTGGGGCCAGAGGAGACACATGAACAGCAGAGGACAGCCCGCTGTCCTCCTTGGGGATGTCTGCCACCAAACAGGAACCAACCACTGGGGTGTGAGGGGTAAACGAGAATTCCCACCGAGGTTTCCCCACACCAAACAGTGCCTTTTCCACCCGAGTCACCCAAAGATCCCCAAAGAGGACGGGCTCTTGGCTGTGGCCACGCCAGGCTGGCGTCCTGCCCCGTGTCCCCCAGCATTGCGTGTCCATAAATAGCCCTGCGCAGCCCCCGGGGTCAGCAATTCAGCACAGCTGTCACAGCACATCAGGCTGATGGAGCAGAACAAGGCAGGAAACCCTCCCTGCTGCGTGCATCCCGCCTGGAGCTGGGCACCGGGAAAGGTGGGATGCACTCCAGGCACAGCACTCTCCTTCACCTAGGGCAGCAAGACCAGGTGCAGCCTTTGCCCTCGCTGTGTAATTGGGGACGGGCACTTGCAGGAAAAAAGAGGAGGATAAAGGAGAGAATTGGCTTTTCCTGGGCTCCCTCCCTCCTCCCATCGGTGTCACCTTTATTAATGGAGGGAGAAAGGTGAGGAGACAGAAGCTGGTCACCTGAAAGCAGCAAGGTCTGCACAACTGTCCTGCTATTTCTTCCAAGAAACAGCTTCTGCCAAGCCCTTCAGGCTATTTGGCCACATAGAGACTTATAGCTGAGAGGAAGAAAATATCTCCCATCTCTGGGGAATGAGCTCCCTGCCCACACCGGCCTTCCCACAGCCTCACAATGTTCCCTGCCCCCTGGTCATCCTCACACACGGTGCTCACCAGCTCCCTGCTGACCCCATGCTGTCACCAGGAGAGCAGAAGGAGCCACCGGGGTGGGTTTCCTCCTTCCATCTCCAGGTGCTTCCAGCCTGGGAATCTGTTTCACACGGTGCTGCAGGGACACCTCGCTGCCTACCAGGTTTGCCAGTGAACTCCTGAACCTGCCAGGGCTTTGTAGACCTGGGAAATCTCTGCGCCACCAAGCAGGAATTAACATTTTTGAGAGGATATCTCCCAGCCCCCTTCCTTCCCACACAGCAAAAGCTCCTGGTGGGAGCAGGGTTTCCATTAGCCACTAACTGCAAAGGAGAAAAATAAAACAACTCTATTCCAAGCCTGCTCCAGGTATTGAAGGAGAAGGAAACCAAACTGCTTCCTGACTCTTCAAGAGCTGCAGGAGAGGGCTAGTCCATCTGCATCACCACTGTCAGTCTAAGCAGGTTGTGAAAAGAGGAGAGAGAAGGATTTTGGTAATGGTGTTCCCTACAAGCCTTCTGCCAAACACCCCAGCGTGTACCAGCCACTCTGGGGGAAGGACTGATAGACTGATTTCTTAACAAAACTGTCTTTTAGCCATCTCTCTCTCTCTGCCATTTGTGCCAATCCCCTGAAGAGCTGGTCTTACCCTCACGGTAAAGTCACTACTCCCACGAGTGGATCACCAGATGTCCCTTTCCCATCCACTTCTCCAATTCCTCCTCGCTCATGGGCGGAGGGACCCACAGCTTTGTTGCTCAGTATACCCTCCTCACATGAAACAACCCCTCCACACTGCTTTTTCCTACGTTTTATTGCTAGTAAGAGTGAAAATATTAGATATTTAGAAAACATCATGTAAATGGTGAGTGAAGTGGGCACAGATTTGCTGACACCAGGTCACAGAGCCATCTTCTCCCTGCCTTATTGAACCATTAGTTGGGTTCTCATCAACACTGTTCCAAGCCCATTTTCCAGCCACTGGCAAATACTTCCTGACTTCCAATTCGTTAATTCATAATGGATAACACAGTTTTACTTAACTTTATACCTGCCACAGGTCCCTGTTAGCAAAAATTTCATTAAACAGATGAATTATTTATCCGTGCCTGAATGGTGTGGATACCCAAGAACGCTCATGCTTAATAATGGATGGCCTCTTAAAAGCTCTCCTTGCACTTTTAGAAGCAAGAAGGCCTTGACTACGTGTAACTTTTGGTTGTGTCACTTGGGTCTCAAAGGGAGAAGCACGTGAAGGAGTTTAAACATGGACCTGCCAGATTTTCCTGCTTCCTGTAGCATCATCAACTGTTTGAAGCCTCCCTCAGGAGCTTTAGTGTCCATCATATAACTGCTTGGTTTGGAAGGGACCTTTAACATCACCTGGTTCCACTCCCTGCTGTGGACAGGGATACCTTCCACCAGCCCAGGAATAATCATCCCAGCCCAAGGCCTCAGCCTGGAGTTTCTTCCCAGCTTTGCAGGAGCCCTGAGACAGCCCAGTTGCTCGTAGGCAGCAGAGCAGGCAGCCCCCAGGAGCCCACTGTGAGCCCCAGAGAGCTCCAACAGCATCCCACCAGCTGCTTTTCTGATAGCCAGGGAAAAGCACTTGGCAAGGAAAGCATGCAGCAGGAAAACTGCCTACCTAAGGGAAGTCACAAGCCTTCCCCACCTGAAATTGCTCCTCTGAGGTCAGAGGTCATTACCTAGGCAACTAAGAGAGCACAGTGATCACAGGACCAGGCTTTACTTTTCTTAAACCAACCCTTAGGCTTCACTGCTACAGCTCTCTGCAGTGCTTGGCAAACAGCTCAGGAGGAGGGAGGGCACACAAGTGAAGGGATGAGCAGCATTAGTCCCATGCACCCCTTCTCAAGCAGAGATCCCACTCATCCCATCCCAAAGCAGATGTTTCAGGGGCACAGTTATTTAGTCTATAATAATGATATCATTAAAAGCACTTTTCCAGACTGACATGACTGCAGCTCAGGCACTTTTTGGGCCACTACAGCTCCAGCAATAACCATCTGGGTTCATATCACAGTTCAAAGGATGAGGTTCAGCCCCAAGACTGCACATCGATCCTACAGCAGCCACCAACGACTTTAACAAGACTCTGGGAAAATCCCCAAGCCCCCAACATCCACAAGGGTGTTCCCTTTTAAAGAAACAGAGGAGAGAAAAAATGCTTAAGTTTTGGATACGCGACCTTAAGCATCTGTATAAAACAGACCAATGCAGATCTCAAACACACACAGAGCCCAAATCAACTCTCTGATCCAGTCACAGACTGTGCAGCCAACAAGCCCCTATGGAGCCAAAAGTTTCTAAGGCCACACATGTGCCAGAATGATTCCCCCTCTCCTCCCAGCCAGCAATGCATCTGAGCTGCCCAGAGAGCCAGGCAGGAAGCTGCACATAGGCAGGGTGCATCTGCATCTCTGATGATTCCCACTTCAAGGCAGACTTAGCCCATTGCTGTGGGTTCAAACATGCAGCTCCTGGCACCACTGACTGACCTCTTCCTACCTCTCAAAAACCCTAGACTTGATTCAGAGCATCAAGAGGAATCCCACAGGTCATCAATGAACATCGGGCACAGGACTGTGACAGGCATATGGCACCCTGGGGACACCCAGCTGGCCCCCAGGGGCAAGTGAGTGCCCAGCACAGGTTACACTCATACACTAGAAGGGCCAGGCTTGCTGTAGGATGGGAAGCAGTTTGGATGACCTTCCCATCATGCTGCAGGAACAAACTGCGAGAGACGCTTCTCCAAAGTCTGCCCTTGGCCATTGTGACATCTGCCAGTTGACCTCTCACCAGGAGTTTAAGTGGCCCAAGCTACACAGATGGCACCTGACAGCCACATAACAAGGGGCCTTTGAGGCATCTTCTTTTTTTGATAAGAAATCTTCCTGCAGAGCAAGACAGCAAACCTTCCCCTGGAGCATCTTTCCTTCTCTCCTTTCTAGGTGAGACAGGACACCTCCACCCCTCCCAGCAGCATTGGGCCCTCCCTCCAAGGAGTGGAACAGGGAGGGATTAGAAGGGAGCAGCCCTGCCAGGCACCCCCGGGAAAGCAGCACACGGGCTAGGGGACAGCAAGGTTCCCTGTGGCACAATCCCACCTCTACTGAACCCCATGAGCTGAAAGAGCCTCCAGCAGAGCAGGGAGGAAGATCAGAGGAGCGAATGAGAATTATAATTTTTTGTTCAACATGGCAGATAAGAAATAAGGCATTTGGGAGGACTGCTGTAGGGGAAGAGACCTGGATGGGAAAGGAGGAGGTACAAGCCTTTAAATCAGCTGGCACTGATGTTTGAATAGCTTAGAAGCCGACCTCAGCTCCTTTTGGCCCTCCTGGTCCAGGTGCTGGGTTCTGAGCGGTGCTGCTTCTCCAGCAGGGTAGATGTCAGATGGGCTGGATATCCTGCTCTCCATGTCTCCATGGAGGGATGTGTCCATCCCTCCCGTGATCCTGCTCCCCCTCCTTCATGGTAAGGAAGCACTTGTGTGACCTTGGGATTGCAGTCAGGCAATGGGGGAAGGGAAAAGCACCTGGGAATCTCACAGAGATTCATTGCTGCCCCATCACAAAGGGAGCCTCATCCATGTGCCACAGATCAGGAGGAGACCTTGGCTGAGATCCCTCCTCCCCCAAAGCTGCTTCCTGCTTTGTTAAACTGGAGACATTTGAGTAGAATCAGTCCACAAACACACACAGGATGCTCTTGTCCTTTGCTCTTCCAAAGCCCTGCAGAAAGCCACCATCTGACACCAGAGTGGCAGCAGAGCCACCAACCCAGCACAGCAGCCCGAGGAAGGGCTTGTTTGGGTAAATAACCCTGCCCAGCAAAGGCAGCTACTGATGATATCTAAACCACTTCAAAGATTAAACAACAGAACACTGACCAGCCTTAAATCCTCTGATTCCTGCCACTGAACTGCAGGCTTTGAGTGGTGTCCCCACGCAGGCAGAGAGGCAGCATGGTCAGCTTCTCTTCCTACTGTATAAAGGATAAAAATCCTCATGCCCCCAGGAAAAATGTATCCTTATAAAAATCAAAGGCCTTTAAGCCCATACAAATTTCCCCATACACCAGCTAAGCGCAAACTGAGCTGGTGAAGTGACGTTAAAACTGATTAATAATTAATAAACGGATAATTATTTATTCTGGCAGGGGATGGGCCAGCATAAACTTGCTGGCTGAATTGCTCTCAGCAATCATGGGCAACACCTGAGACCTGCTCCAGCTGTTTCTCCTCACAATCCATGGCAGCACATCCCAAATTTTGTCCTTGCTTTCCCATGATCCTCTTTCAGGAAGCGCTCAAGCAAGGTGGATAGAAAAATAATTTAGGCACTTAAAATCAATTATTTTGTTGATTAGCTTGCCCAGAGTTCCAGTAAAGGATTCTTTTTAAATTATTAAGCATTACGAAGGACTCAGCTCAGTCTGCAATCACTACTTGCATCTAAAAGGCTGAAGCTTTTCTCCTTCCCTGCCACACCTGCCTCAAAGCCATCCCAAAGCCTAGGATAAGGGGGAAATCGGTGCCAGTGAATTAAACCAGATGGAATGACGGCCGAAGGGAGGAGGGGTGGGGGGAAAACCCTAAACAAACGAGACAATCTCAGAACAGTCAATTTCCTGATGACCTGGTTCCAGAACTCTCCCAGGCCATTCCTTTCCCAGCTCACCCACTTGTCAATCCTTTAAGTGGGGTTAAAAGAGAGTGGGAAAAAAAAAAAAATATATATATTCAATGAGAAATTGCGGTGTTTCTGTGGCCTGAAAACGCACCATTTTCGAGCCACTGCTACTCCACCATGAAAATCCACGGATGCCTCAATGCCCTCCTGAGGGCTCCTCTGAATCATGTTTACAGCGCGGCAGAACAGTTCCCAAAAATAAAAGGCTCCTAGATAAACTGTAAGCACATCACAAGGAATTACTGCTCACTACCAGCACAGAGTGTATCGGAACGGAGGGGAAAAGCTTCCATGGGGAGGAAAAAGGCTGTGGTGCAACCCTCCCAAAATTTTCTACCTCAGCAGAACCCACAAACAAAATCAACTTCATCCCTCCAGATCCCCAGTGGAGGATGCAGCCCCAGCCTGGCAGCTGGAGACGGCACAGCAAAGAAATGTGGGCTAGACAAGGGGGAAAAGCAATTTTAGGGGAAAGAAACTAAAATTCTGGGGGGCAAAAAGATGAAATTCTAGAGCAGATAAAGAACAAAATATTCGGGGGGAGGGGAAAACAAAATTCCAGGGAGGTAAAGACAAAAAAATAAAAACAAAAAAGGGGTAAAACTCAGCAATATTTGAGGTGGCAAAAAAAAAAAATCGGGTGGGAAGGAGCCCCAAAATTTAAGGGAGGGAGGTTAGGAAAGAAACCAAACCCAAAATTCGAGGGAAAAACATCACAACAAGCCAGCATCAAAACTCGAGAGGGAAATTCCACAAAATTCGAGGCGGAAGGAGGGAATCAATTTCAAGGAAAAAAAACCAACAACAACCCAAACAAACAAAAAGAACTCTACGCAAATATTCGAGGGCGGAAAACCCACACAATTCAAGTGGGGGGAAAAGCCGGCAAAATCCGAGGAGGGAAACACAAGATGCGAGGGGGAAAAAAAACCCCACAAAAATTCGAGGAGCCATCGATACGAAATTCCTGAAAGCGAGGAAGAAAAAAAAAAAAAAGCACGATTCCAGGAGGGAAAGAAAACAAGTTTTTGGTGAGGGAAACTCCACAAAACGAGAAGGGGAGGCCGTGAGGGTCTCTTACCGCCCAAGAAGCTCCTGGCGCGCAGGAAGCCGGCGCTGAGGCGGAGCACCGAGAGCTTGTCCAGCCCGGCCACCACGTCGGGCGGGAAGGGCAGGAGCCCCGCCAGCCGCTCCAGCTCCCGGTTCAGCCGCTCCCGGTGCCGCTTGGACGGGTTGGAGCCGCCGCCTTCAGCCAGGACCGGCCCCGTCCTGCCGGGCACAGATCCGGTACCGGGGAAGGGAAGCCCCCTCATCCCCGCCCCGGGCACAGATCCGGTACCGGGGAAGGGAAGCCCCCTCATCCCGGCCCCCTTAGCCCCCTCGCCCTCACTCACGCCCGCCGCACCGGCTTCCTCCGCCTGCGCCCCGCGTACATGGCCCGGCCGGCAGCGCCCGACGCCGCTCCCTCAGTGAGAGAACGAGGCAGCGAGAGGGGAATGGGAGCGGCCCGCCCCCGGCGATAAGGGGAGACGGGGGATGGATTTGGGGTAGCGGAGGATCGTTGTGTGATGGAGCTGAGAAAGGATTTGAGGGTCGAAGGGGGAGTGGGAGCTGGTGGAGAGAAGGGATGATGAGTGGGGTTAATGAGGAGGTGAAGGGGATTTGGGGTTGTGAAAGGGCTGTGGGTGGGTGGGATGCGAGAGTGTTGGTGAGGAGATGGAGGCCGGACCGCGGGTGCCAATGGCTCGAACAATCCACCTAGTGCTTTGCCAGTGATGCACAGAGCGACCTGCCAGGTGCAGAAGGGTTGGCAAATAAGGGAAGAGGCTGGGAATGGGGAAGTCCTGCGATGTGGAAGAAGTCTTTATCATGCCTATGGCCTCCCTCACGTAATGGCTCAGCTGTGAAAACTCCCAAATACGGGGACATTCACACATAAGCTGAAGGTACTCATCTCGACTGATAGGCCATAATTAATTGAATATGCTCACTTGAAGCCAGCTGCAGTATCTCAGAAGGTATCACAGGTCCCCGAGTGTCTCAGGACCCACAGTATTCACCGGCGTGAAGCTCCCTGCCCCAGGGAATGTTCCCACGTGGCTTCAGCAGAATATAAACTCCATGGACGCGGTGTGTGTTGGACTCTTTCCCGTCGTGACTCGATGAGTGTAGTCTGCAGTCACCACTGGGCAGGACACCGAGAGGACTCGAGGACCACCGGCATGTCACTCCAATCTACAAAGTAGCGGTACTTTTTTCTGCACAGTCTGTTTATCTATCACTTTCTCTCCACTCTCCTATCCTTTGCCTCTCTCTCCCTCACGTTTACTGTTAAATAAAAATCCATACTACTGGCATTGGCACGTGGTATCGTTTGCACCTTATTTTGTGCAGAGGCATCTCTAATAATTTTTAATAGTCGGATATTAACAACCATGTGTGTTAATGCCGAGTGTAACCCTGCCTGTGAGTGCCACAACCCCGCAGGGCAGTTTGGAGGTGCAAAGGGGGGACACTGTCACACCTCTGCTGCCGTGCATGCCCACAGTAGCTGGGGACAGTGACAACGAGTGTGTCATGCACCCACCACCAGGGCCAGGCTTTTCCCAGCACTTGCTCAGTCAAGGAGGAAATGAAGAGACATGGTTTTGGGTCAATACAAACATCAGCACCATACAAGGAAAATCGCTTTTAATACATCTCCAAACACAGGGGTGAGGCTCTGGACAGCTCTTTTCTCCTCAACACCTTCCAGCTGCCACCAGCAGCACAAAGGAATCGTGGAGTGGAAAATGAGATGCTGCCACCAGAACAGACTTTATCTGCACAGCCACGAGGTACAGAGAGATCAGATCGCAGTGACAGAGCACACGGTGGTCTGTCACAGCCCCAGGCAGCAATGCCCCCAGCCCAAGGCCCACCTCTTGAAGCCCTGGGAGTTGCTGGCATACCTCAGAACCCTCTCACAGGTGCCAGAACAAGAGGCTGGTGAGCAGAGTCCATCCTGCTGCTTTCAGGACCCAGATCATTGCCAGTCAACTCTTTGCCCCATTCTAGGTGCTCCTCAAAGCCACGTCAGAGTGGTCCTGCAGGTTTCAGCATTGCTCTGCTCCTAGCCTGCAGATAGGAAGGAGCTTGACCTTTCCCAGGCCTCATCAGCAGAGGCAAAGTTGGGCATGAAGGACGAAACCCAGGGAAATGAGGCCACTCCACACCAGGACACGTGGGCTTGCTGCTAGCCCTGTGCTAATTACCTCATTTAATTTGCTCGGTAAATGCTTAATACTGGTGTGCAAGGCAGATGCGATGCTCAGGGTGATGGGTGCATGAGGTGAAGGTGTGAATGTCCCCAAGCACTCTGATCTCTCTGACCCAATGTTGCATACCCGTGGTCTCAAATCATCCCCACCCTCCCCAGTCATTGCTTTTTGTGTGGGTTTCCTTGATGGATCTGCAAGGCTTTGCTCCGTGGTGGGGAAAAAACAATTCGTTCACATCTTAGGCTACATATATAGAAAAGGAAGATAATCCACCAAAGTGGTTGTGCTGGGCTGCAGGACAATGGTGTGAGGGCCAAGTGGGTCTGGAGAGACAGCCAGTGGTCACTGCATCCCTCCCTGCCTTTCCTTCTCACTGTTTTGGCAAAACCACAGGGGGAACCCCCATTGTTCCTGTCCCATGGCACTGTGGAGCAGAGGACAGGAAGGCAAGGACAAGCCAGTGACAAACCATAGGGGAGCTGGGCTGGACCTTCCTGGCCCTGCATCCCAGAAAGGTCACAATGGCATGGTACCCACCTCTCCCCAGTTCCCCTGGAAGGCTGCTGGAGAGCCCAAACCCCAAGGTACCTCCACTCCCACCAACTCCACCTCCCACCGAAACCCTTCAATGCTGCTGAGCTTCTTCAAGTGCTTGGTAACACTTCTCCCAAAGGATTTGCGTGGTCTCTGGAGGAGATGGAGAGCCTAGGAGGAAAAGAGGCTCAGGCAGGCAGAGATGATGCAGGGGACCAAACAGCAACATGACAACACAGAAGATGAGGAGACCGTGCTGTTTTGTTGAGAAACAGCAGTTCAGTGCTACCTGCCTGTGAGGCAGCAGCTCCATCTGCAAGAGGCTGCCCCAAGCACATGGACATGCCAGCCAGCAATGTCCTTCCCTGGACCCCAGGAGCCTGCAAGCCTTCCCAGTGGCACGGCTGCATCTCCCTGAAAGACTTCTCATGGAACAAAAAGTCCAAACCACATCATCTTAGACTACCTGACAGCATTGGAAGACAAGATCTTGAGAGACCAAAAAGCATGGGGCACCACTGCTCACAGCTTCTGGTGGCTTTCCAAGACAGGGCTCCTGGTTCAAAGTGAGCTCCAAACCAGACTGCCCAGCAAGGATGGTGTGGCTGCATCCTGGCAGACCCCTTGCTCCCTCCACAGGAGCCAGGCACCCCTCAGGTCCTACAGCCCTCGCACCTCACCTTGAGCTGGACCTCACAGGCACAGAGGGGCTGCCCAGCTGAGAAGGGAACTGATGGGCAGCCAGGGTCCTGCCCGGAGCATGGGGGTGCTCTTGCACCAACCTTCAGAGGGAGAGCTGCTGAGCGCCTTGGAACCGAGCCCAGGGAGGAGCAGGGTGCTCCAGGATGGCTGTCAGCAGGGCAAGGCAAAGCGCCCGGCTGCTGGGGAAGGGGTACTTCAGCAGCATCTCTCAGGAAGCTGCTCTCATGCCTGAAGAGGCTGTTTCCATACTGGCACTCGGGCAGCACAATGCAATCCCTATGGTGGGCGCCGGGATCCGTGCTGAGGCCCAGCAGGAGCCCGCTGGGGTGTGCTGGCCCTGCCTCGTGGCTCCTCGGAGGAGCTGCACCAGCCTGCGGGAGACACAGCTGTGAGAACCACTTGTCCTCTTGGAGCACTGCCTGCTCCCCTTCCCAGGAAAAGCTGGGCTCTACATGGGCTGCCAGGGGCTGTTTGGGGAAGCCATCGTGCCCTGGCAGTGCGCTGGCTCCTAAGGGTGCAGGGAGAGCAGCCTCTGCATCATAGAGCTTCCTATCCCCAGAGAACAGGGAGTCATGCAAGCCCTGGGTAGGGCAAGGAATAGATTGGGAGGGGAGTGGCAACCACAGCCCGGCCCCCGAGGGCCTCTCAGGGCTGCCAGCTGTCAGAGTTTGGGACTCTGTGTGTGCTCCTGCAGCTTCCAGCTGTTTCGGTGCTATGGCCAGCCAAGCCTCCGACGGGCAACTGGTTGGGTTTGCCTGGAGGGGGACATTGTGCAACAGAGTCACAAATGTGTTTGAGCCCACCAGCTGGCACCCGGGCTGGCTCTGAGCAGTAGAAGCAGTGTTATCTACAGGAGCAGAGGTTGTATCTCCTGCTTGAAATGCTTTGTTTGCCAGCTGAAGTGCTGCAGAGGATGTGCTGCTGGAGATGGGCACACCCAGCACAGCCCCTGCCACCAGCCTGGCTGGGTTAAATGGGACCTGCTGCTCTGGCTGGGCAGAGCTGCCCTCAGAGGCCACGGAGGCTACAGAGCCCACAGCCCCCTGGCCTCCCCATGTGCCCGCTGCCCGGGACTGCACTGAGAACGCCGAGCCAGCTGCCCAGCAGCACTGGGAGCGAGCCACAACACTGTTTTCCTCACGGCAGGGTGGGAAGTCCAGGCTCTTCCCAGCACCGTCCCTGAGGAGCATCTGCTCCACATAGGATGTCACCTTGGTGGCCGGCCTCTGGCCGAGCCCCTGAGCTGACAGCTCGTCCTCTGCCCCCAGGCTGAGTAGAGCCTCCTCCCACTGCTGCAGCTCTGTGCTGTCCACGCCGAGGCTCGGGCAGACGTTTCCAGCCACCTCCTTCTTTTCAAAGAGTGTTTCGATGACCACCAGGAGGGGGTCGCTGTCCTCCTTGGCACTGCTGGTGTCCTCATTCCGGCTCAGCCCATCGGGCTCAGCAGGGAAACCTGGCAGGGAGAACTGAGGCGTGTTATCAGCGTGGCAATTGTATATGGATGCATCCTGCTTCATCATGGCCCCAAGCAGAGAGTTGGGGTCTACCAAGCGCTGTTCTGGGTTGGAATTTGCTTGCACCTGCAACTCCTCCTTGGCTTGGAATGAGTCCAAGAACCTGGGAACATCGTTCCCATACAAGACTGCTTCCCCCGTGGCCAAGCTGAAAGGCAGCTGCAGGTTTCTCTTCTGGAGATGTTCCTCCCCTTCTTCATTCCTTCAGTGTGGAGGGAAAAAGGGATGGAAACAGCATGAGCAGCTCCTCCAGGCCAGGTAAAACCACCCTTCTGACAGCAAGGGGGGAACTCACAGCCGTGCCCTGGCTCTTTTAGAGGAAAGAATCCCACCTGGGTTGGGCTGGCTACAAGAGGGCTCTGGGGAGCCCACAGGGAGGTCTGCATGGCTCAGGGAAGGGCTGCTGCTCCCAGACAGGAGCATGTCCACAACCACCTTCTCAGAGTGGTTCCACTCACACTACAGGACATGCTGCAAAGTGCCAGCCCTACCTACCATTTCCTGCACCCTCATGGCCCCTGTGTGGCTCGGGCAGCCCCCCCAGCCCCAGAGCAGCTGAAGGGGGCCAGCAATACTCACGACAGGGCTCTCTGGCGGGCAATGATGCAGTCGGGCTTGTCCCCTTTGTACACCAGCCGTGCGTTGGCCTGCACCCACACCCAGCCGCCCCTCTTGGTCAGCAGCCGGAACACCGTCAGCCCGCTCTCCCCCGTCTTCATCACTGGGGCAAGGACACAAGAGAAGTGCCACTGACAGAGCTCCTCCACGCAGGCAGACAAATGACACGTGCAAGATGCCATGAGGTTGAGCATCACCTCGTGGCTGTGCTATGGGGGCAGGAGATGCAGGATGCTGTCTCTCTGCAAGCTCCCCGAGCTCATCCAGGAGGATGAGCCTTTATCACAGCTACTCCAGCCCTGGGATAGACTGCACCAAGGAGCGATACTACAGCCAGGCCAGGGCCTGGAGGGACCCCACAAACACCCGCCCCCAGCACTCACTTCTCACGTGGTGCTCTGCGCAGTGCATCATGTCGGCCGCGTGCACAAACTGGTATCCAGACCCCCTCCTGCACAGCTCCATCTCCGTGTATCCCAGGACAACCTTCCCCCTAAAAACAGCATAGGAACGCAGTGACACCAGGGATGCAGCCCCCACAGATGGACCCCACTGGCCGGACCCCCACTTTGGGTGGTGCAATGTTCCACCCGGGGCTGAGCTGCATCCCCTGTTCCACAAACCACTCAAACCACAGCAGACAAGAAGTGCTGGTCCCCCGTTAACCTGCTCCCCGTGTTATTGTGGGCCTGCAGAAGAGGGACAAAAGCATCAGGCTGTGGGAAGCTGGGTCAGGTGCTCCTTGTCCCCACCCAGTCTAGTTTTCTGTCCAGCACCAGGGATTTTGCCATGGGGAAAGTGAGAGATACCTTACCGGGAATCACAGGCCATGGGAGTGAAGTCCAGCTTGTGCTTTGTCTGGAAGATCAGCGTCTTAGTCCGGAGCTCCAGGATGGAGAGAGGCTGGAGGAGTGTGGCAATGGCAAAGAGAGCAACCGGGGACTTGTCTGCTGCTGACTTTTGCTGCCCAAGAAGGAACTTCAGGCGTCCACGGAAATTCAAGGCCTTACAGGGATTAGAAAACGTGCGTGTGAAGGAAACAGGGTGCTGGGAACTGGCTGTGCTCTCACCCCTATGGGACACAAGTGGCTCTGGAGGAACACTCTGTGGGCACAGGGGGAGCAGGGGGGTGTCCCAGCATTACCAGGAATCCCGAGGAGTTATCCAGCAGGCAGCGGAAGCGGCAGGTGAAGCTCCTCTCCAAGAAGGATTGCTTCTCAGCATGGAGGTGCTGGGGGCTGGATGTGGCGCTGTGTCCCCCCAGCAGTGGCTGATCAGGGGGAAAGGCTGGAAAAGCAAAGGGAAAAGGAAGCTTTCCAAGCCGTACTGCACACCCTGAGCTCACGGCTCAGAGCTGCTCAGGTGAACCCCGCAAGGCTCACCCTGGCACTCACTGTCAGCAGCGTGCAGGGGCGTCCTGTGCAGCTGGCGGCGGAAGGCGGCCCTGTCGTCTGCATGGATCAGCTCGTACACGCTCTGGTAGATGAGATCCGACTGGAACGACACAGGAGAACAGTGTCTGCTCCTGGACAGCCTGGCAGAGGTGTCGGGAGGAGGACACAGCAGAAGGTTTCCCTTCCTGGGCACTAAAAGTGCAGGGATTGAGTGTAAAGAACAGGCAAACTCCAGCTCCTTCCCCTGCTACAGGAACTGCTGCCCTTTGGGAAACTTTGCACCCCATATGCACCTCCTTCCCACACCAGGACTATATCCATCTGTTTCCAGCCAGGAAAACACGGTGCTCACCTGGTGGAAGCCCAGGTAGTCCTGCACAGTAGGGGAGATGTAGAAGATGTAGCCATCTCCAGTCACAGCAATGACAAACCCATTGAGTGCCTGAAAGCAAAATTTCAGTCCAAAGTTACTTTCCCCAGCTTCAATCCAACTGCTGAACAATGAAATCCCTCAGCTGTTTCTTCAGCGTCCACGGACAAGAAGGCACCTTCTTCCCCAACAAGGAGCCCCACAAAGGAGGACAGCACCTAGTAAACATGCAAGACTCAGTTCTGTGGAGTTTTTTGTTCCCAGCATGAACAATGATCCAGCTTGGATCCAAACCCCCCATGGAAGCCCCTATCACTGCAGGGCAGCTCTTGCCTCAGGAGGGACAGCTAAGGAAAAGTTTTATGGAGGATCTGGAGTTAGTTTCCTCCTTTCCAGCTGGGAATAGATACACTCTCCTGAAGCTCTGCTTTGGGACACGAAAATCCTTGTGGGTCCCTTCCAGCTCTGGACATTCTGTGATTCTGGTGACCATTTCAGGCTGATTTCCCCAAAAAGCAAAGCACTACTTACAGCACTAGACAGTAAATCATGCCCCCTGCTCTTGACTGTGATATGTTTAATTTATTAATAGAAGGAGAGAAATTAGGAAAAGAACACCCTAAATGGAAGCCTAGCACACAGATCCAGCTTGCTGAAGGACCAATCCCTTCCTTTTGTGTGCTGCAGCCCCTCGAGGGACCACGAGTCAGAGGTTTCTGCAAATCACAGTACATGCTTAAAATGATCTTTGTGGGGAAGAAAAAAAAAGCCACGAGACAGCTCAGCGGGGAGATTTCTGCCACAGTAACACGTCATAAGCTCTCCAGATGCCTTCAATCACCCCAGCCTGCCAGTGCTCTGGTGGCTCAACAAATTGCCACCATATGGTCCAAGTCCAAAGCCCTGGGGAGTGCTCAGGAGCAGCTCCATGCTGGGGCTTGAGGCAGTCATGGGCTCCCTCCTGGTATCCAGCTGCTCCTCCCTGATGGGCACACTCACACACAGCTGGAACCGTGGGGGACCTTATGTGGTCCAGGATTCACTGCCAAAAGTCACACTGAACTCCCAGGAGTCACTGCCTTGCAAAAATCCTACATGGAGGCTCCTGCTGGGGGTCTGCTCACACTGCTGGCTGCCTGGAGGGCTCTGCAGGAGCAGGGCTGAAGCGACCAAAGTCAGGTTTAAGGAGAACCAAGCATCCATCTGCTGGTATTTGGAGAAGTGGGAGAAGAGGGCTGAAGGCCCAGAAAGCCTACAAGAGAGCTGGAGAGGGCATGGAGGGACAGGACAAAGGGGCTTCATGCTGCCAGAGGGCAGGGATGGATGGGATATTGGGAAGGAATCCTTCCCTGGGAGGGTGGGCAGGCCCTGGCACAGGGTGCCCAGAGAAGCTGTGGCTGCCCCTGGATCCCTGGAAGTGTCCAAGGCCAGACTGGACATTGGGGCTTGGAGCAGCCTGGGATAGCGGAAGGTGTCCCTGCCCATGGCAGCTCATCACAGGATGAACTCTAAGGTCCCTTCCCACCCAAACCATTCTGGGATTCTGGGAAAGCCCAGGCACAGGAGATGCCAAGAATACAGAACGATTGAAGGTCTTGCACAGACTCGCCTTGCAGCCCCAGGGAGCAGCATGTTTCTCAGCTGGCGTGCCTGGACGCTTGTTCAGCAATCAGCCTTTCCATGTGACCGTTCCATGCCAGTTCCTTCCAGCTCACATTGATAATGGCAGCCCAAACCTACAGCATTGTGGGAGGCTGATTCACCAGCTCCTCGTGCTCTGGGTTTCACGAGATACATGTTTCATGAGATACACGTGGCCTTTCTACAAAGCAAAGCTCTCATTTCCCACTGGTTTTGTCCACCACTGTTTTCCAACATCCAGCTGCTCTTCTTTTCTCCCCCACAACCTACAAACTCAAGCTGGGCTTTTCCCATCCCAGGCAGGCTGTGAACTCATCCCTACGGAACTCACGCAATGCCCCAGGAGAGCAAGGAGCTCCTGGGGGATGTTTTGTCCCACAGCTCTCAGCGTTCTCCTCTTGGCCTGCTAAAGATAATGAATCAACCCAGCACCTTGGGAACTACTCAGGGATCGATCCCTACACCACCGTTTGATATCCCTGAACCTCTTGGTTGGGATGGAGCTTATGTCCATGAGCTGTAACATAATCAAAGGGGCAGCAAATTGCAGTGGGATGAGAGGGAGTGGTGGGAATGGGGATCTGGACACGTCCCAGCCAGGCAGTCACTGGTCTCTGTCCCCAGGAACTCAGTGCCTGCAGGAGCTGCAAAGCAGCTCTGGGCAAGGCAGGGTCTCCTCTAGCTCCACAAATGGGACCACAAGCTCCAGAGCTGCTTGGGGAGACACCAAATGACCAAGGACCATACCTGGAGCAGCAGCTCCCCCTCAGGAAACAGCTCCCTGTCACCCTGCGGCTCCGTCTGTCTCTCCCCTCCTGGGGCTCTGAGCTGATCCAGGCAGTTGCCAACCTTTGGAACAGTAGCTGCAAGTGAGAAGGCAAGAAATCAGTGTGGAAGGGGCAAGCCAGGAGCCTGCCCCTCTTTCTCCCCACCCCAGGGCCGCTCATGCAGCTACTGGATGCCCATGGACCCAGTGTGGAGGAAGGTGAGACCATCAGTGGGAACTAGCACAGAGCCATGCCCAGCTTGCCCAAGGCTTCCTCCAAGAGATTCTTTCCCCTGCTTGATCCCATTCCTGGGGAACCTCACTCCTGCCAGGATGTGAGGCAGAGATGCAAGGGACAGAGGGAGACTGAGTGCTTCTGGGCTGCCCAGGCTGGGGAACACCACCCAACACAGCCAGGAGGCTTCTGGTTAGAGCCTGGCAGAGCTGGAGTTGACTTTCAGCCACCCCACTAGGGTGATCTGTCTGCTCTGCTGCCCTTCATGGTTGGAGAAAGACACAGGAAAACCTTCCCAAAGCACCTGAGATGCCATCAAAGCACCCATATTAATTTTCTCCCTTCCATCTTTGACTGCTTGTAAGTAGATTAAGAGCTGGTGGTCATGGCACTCCCGGTGACACCTGAGAGCTCTCGGCCCCCACTCACTACCATGACCTCCCCAGGCTGATTGAGGAACTGCCTCATGCTTCAGCACTGGATGCCTTCAAAGCAACACCCCTGGGTGCAGCCACATGAAACCTCCTGCTGCCCTGCTCGTGGGACCTCGAGCTTCACGGGACTCCCACAGAGCTGGTTGTTCAGGGAACAGGAATGAGGGCAGAGGCTCCCAGGGACATTCCCAGTGTGATCCTTTATCTGCTGATTATCACTGAAAAAATTCAATCCAAGCTCAGCTGCAAGCAAAAGGATGATTTTCAAGGCATAATTTTTGTGCCAGCTCACCAAAAAAAAATAAAAATAAAAAAAAAATCACAGAAAAGCTCGAAGTAGCTCCCATGTAGGAACCACCCCACCTCTGCCACCATCTCCAGCTCCTGCAGCTCCCTGAGGTCTGACAGAGCTCACATATTCTGTGCAATTCATATCCCAGCAGAGAGCACTGCCTGCCCCCTCTCAGCCCTGGGTGTCAGGTGGTGCTGGATCCAAAGGTAAAAGATCCTCTGAATGTTGGAAATGAGGAAGAACCTCAAACCATCCTACATCTGACCATACATTAAATTTTCTCCATGGTAGAAGCTCTCACTTCTCCACTGAAATGTTTTGAAGGTTTGTTTGGTTTCTTCCCTGGTAACAACTAGTTCAAAGCCAAAACATTTTGGAATCTAAAGAAGTTTCACATGCAACTGCTGATCTGGGACATTTTGCTCTGCAGCAAACTATCAACATGCAAAAGCATTTTCCCTGATGGACTGGCACGTTTGAATCCAAAACAAATTTGGAGTCAAAGCATACCTGGGATGTATTTACATCTGGAGCCTGTCTGCCAACAAGCAACCACCCACGGAGGCTGTCAGCAGCCAGGGCATGGATACAGCAGGGTTAGGGTAATTAGCTGCAGGTCTTGCATAAGGTGACACAAATAGCAATGGAGAGGGTGCTCTGGAGCAGAGCCAGCCTCCATGTCCATCACTGGCAGAGCTGGGACACTTCTTCCTCCCCCAAACCTTCAGCACTCCTTGGAGATGCTCAGGCAGCATCTCTACCTTCTCCACCAGACACAGCTTCTGCTCTTTTCCATCCTTTGCTGTCAGAGCAGCCTGCTCAGGGGATATGAGGGCTCTGGGAAAGGTTGGGAAAGATGAGATTCAACAGGGAGACACTAAGCTAAAAGCCTCCTCACATGATTGCCGTGTGATCCCCAAGGAAACCCATCCCATCTGGACCACATGGCTTCAATTTGCACTTCATGGAGCATAATAGTTTCAAAATGAAACATTGATTCTCATTTAAAACTGAATTTCTTTTGAAGGGCTGACTGCTCTCTAAAGCACTGAAATGAGGCAGGCTGTCAGGGGATTTCAGAAAGAAACAAGTTCTTCCAAAATACAGATCCAAAAGGGCACAGAACTTTTTGAGAACATGCACATTCTGAGAGCATCTGGTCTCCAGCTCTCTCCCAATGTCCACCAGCACCATTGGCAGGGAGAGGTGGCTTTCAGAGTCCAGCAGGAAATATCCATTTTGCACTTTCCAGCAAAATTTCTTCACCTCTCCCACTGATCTTAGCAAGGGGCTTTTAATCTCCCACCAAAGGTGCTCACTTCCCCTTCTCTCAAACAAAGAGCAGTCCATTTCTATACAGCTGAGCTCAAAATTCCTCCAGAATCTGTTTCCCACGGGACACACCTGACCTAGGGAGAATGTCTGGAGAGTGGAGAGAGGGGAGGAAACTCAGAGATGTCTGCCACCAAAACACTCGTGGTGTGGAGCAGCTGGTGCTCACATCCAGCCCAGTCCTCACCATCCACAGTCAGAGGCCGTGGTGTTCCTGTGGCTTTCCCCCTCCAAACAGGTCTCTGAACTCATCCTCACTCAAACTACCAAGAACCATTGGGACTGGGAGTAATACCAAGAGAAACCCAAGCACTTCCAGGCAGAGGACTCCAGACCCATGCAACTACCACAGGTCCCAGGCACTTTTTGACTTGGAAAGGAAAATCCAACATTTTAAATCATATCCCAGGCCATTTACAACACAGACACCTCGTGAGAGGGATCACTCCTGAAACATCCCCCTTACTTGAGACAAGATGGGGAGATGGCACCTTCTGTCATCCCACCTGGAGGCATGGATCCCTCAGGCTGCTGAAGCCACATCTCCAGTGGCTAAGATGGACTGGAAACAGTGGCTGGCAGGAGGAAGAGACCCCCCACTGGTTGCCAGGCAGAACGAAGCAGGTGATGGACTGTATTAAAAGCTGGCTAATTCATCCCATTTAACACACTCCTTCTAATGGAGCCCTTGAGACCATGAATTAATGGGATTAAAGGAAACAGGCCCAACGTGTATCCAAGCTATAATATACCCACAACCACAGAAGTAACTGGGTAAAAGGACAATGCACTTTTCCTGTTTGTGCCCAGCTTTTTCAGTCTCCTGCAGTACATCTTGGATAATTAGTGGGAATTAACATGTGGATGTGGTGCTTAGGGACATGGGTGAGTGCTGGGCTTGGCATTGCTGGGTTAATGGTTGGACTTGATGATTGTAGGGTCTTTTCCAGGCTTAATGATTCCATAATTCTAAGAAAAAGACCATGGCAAAATCTGTCTGCAGTTACCAGGTAAGATCCAGGCACCTGTTGGAGCAGTGTGGCGATCACTTACATTTTCAAAGTACTGGCTGTGTGTATTTTTAAGACAGGAGGGGGAAATGCAGCTCTCTCCTGAACCCCAACATCAGCCAGAACACTGAAGGTTTCCTGCTGCTGGTGTGATCCCCCAAGACTGCCAGGCTTTCCCTCAGCCAGGGAAGATGCCAGGCAGGATCAGCAGAGTTTCCAGCATCAACGAATCAGGATGTTCCCCATACATCCCCAAGAGCATCCCCTTATGGGTTGGCTTTCTTGCCTCTGCAAGGAGGTTCCTAAGCCCTGCAACAGAGGAAAAACTTCCAGCAAGAAGGAAAAAAGACCAAAGTCATCTAATCTCTTCACTTTTTTACCCATCACATTCCCAAAGAAAAACATGGCAAGGCAGCCATGGAGGCTAAAACACATCCCTTGCCTCTGGCGTGGATTTGGCACTGAAAATTAAAGGTAATTGGTAACCCCAGAGCCAGATCTCCTCTCACAGACTTGGCTACACCGGGGAGAGTTGACAAGCTTGGACCACGGCAAACACTTCTCTTTGAACAGGCTCCAGAGGTGCCTGGCATCCAAAAACCAGGAGCTCCCAGCTCTTCCAGCAACACCAAGCCACGCACAACCATTTTCCTCTTGGATCTGATCCCAAACCCTGTCAAATTAGCACCAACCTTTGCCTCAGCTGTTTAACAGAGGCACGGTGCCAAGCAGAGCAGGCTCGTGCCATCCAAGTGAAACAGACAAATGCCAAACCCACAGATTAACTACTATTGGGAAAAGTCACTTGGCATTTTCCAAGGAGCACAGAAATGCCCTGGGGAGTGCTGGCATCCCCAAATCCATGCCAGCCTCTCCAACCTGCTGCTCCAAACCTTCATCCACATAGACCTGCAGGATCTTGCCCAGGGACAGATTTGAGCTTGACTCCTTTCACTGACCCAGTTACTTCAGGCCCAGATCCCTGCAGCTCTGGCCCACGGTAACAACAAACAACGAGGAGGTGAATAAAAAAGCTAATTTAGTGCTGGTGGTGTGAGAGACATATTGAGGAAGTAAGAAAATTACAGCCTGAAAAATATTCCAGGTTGGGACTTTTCAGCTCTGTTCCCAGCCAATAAGCTGGTCCAGCTCAAGGCTAGGGAGAATTTCTCCCAGGGTGATAATTTGGTCAAAATAAAAAGGAATTAATAACAAAGATAGAACACCTGTTGTGGTGTGTGACCAGGCCCTGGCAATGGGGTGTCTTCTCTCTGAACCAATCACCTTTTCTCTACTCTTGGAATTGCGAGTCATGCTATAAAACCAAGTATGTTCCTGAAAAAACTTGTCTCTTTCTTCCTGTCATGAAAGACGACCATGTAGCTGTGCATCTTATTTCCACCGCACTTAAAGGGTTAAAAACCCTTTCCATTTCCACGGCTACAGGTGGCAGTGAGATTACCCAAGGAGACCTGCTGCCAGCTGCAGAGAAGCACTGGGGAGGGAACTGGTGAGACTAGCACCAGAGGTGGGAAAGGACGTGGTGAGACCTCCTAAGCCTAGCCCCTGCCCCAGCCAGGTCAGCTGGATGGGGAGGTAGCCACTGTTCACTGTTTGCTAGGAGCTGTTAGAGATCTCAAGCTTTGCCAGACTCCAGAGCGTGGTCTCACACCACGACAGGGTTTTCCATGAGTTCTGAAAGAGACTGGGTTAGGCTGGATGTTGGGAAAGAATCCTTCCCTGTGAGGGTGGGTAGGTCCTGGCACAGATTACTAGAGTAGCTGTGGGTGCCCCATTCCTGGAATAGTTCCAGGCCAGGTTCGACATTGGGGCTTGGAGCACCCTGGGATAGTGGGAGGTGTCCCTGCCCATACTGGGTGGGGGGCACTGGATGAACTTCCTTCTGGGACTCTGTGATCCTCTCTCTTGCAGACCTCCCTCCCTGGTGGCCTAGAAAGAAAGCATGGCAGCACATTCCCTGATCACACCCTCTCCACCTCAGAGAGCATTTTAAGCCCCATTTTCATGCTCACCCTTGGCAGAGTCACATCTGCAACCCCAACATCTTCTTCCTTTGTTACTGTAGGAAACAAACCCCAGCACAGCTCCCCAGCTAGCTGGAGGTTTTCCAAGCCACTCAGCACTAAAATCTGTGGAGGCCAGTGGGCCTTCTAGAAAACAGTCCACAGTGCTCCCCTTCGAGCCATCCAAGCTCCCATAAGATCTCCCTCTTTGCAGCAAGTGGGGCTCCTGTCACATCTCAGAGAGCCCAGAGCATCATAGCAGTTGGCAACATAGACACAAGCTTTTCTCCTTGGGCGCTTGCTCTCAAAGAGACAGGGATCAGCAAAGTCACTCCAGATTTGTCTGGGAGACTGTCAGACACAAGTCCAAGCAGCAACTACTGCAAATTGGTTTGCAGACAGAGCTCAGCACAAGCCTGGCAGTGAGGTTCAGTCACTGTTTACGAGTGACAAAACCTTTGAAGTGCCTTTAAGGCAGGCTGTGATAGCACCAGAGCTTATCCAGTGCTGCTCACAGGCTGGGCCTGATGGGCAAAGCTTGGGGAGACCAAGCCCTGAGCCTCCTGATTTTGCACAGGGAAGACTGAGATCCCAGGCAGCAGAGAGCTGTGCAACACCTGCAGCATTTGCCCCAAGGCACAGGAGAGTTACAGATGTGCACACCCTGAATCAGCCTGTGGAAGAACAGAGGGAGCTCCAAGAGCTTCCCTCTCTAGGCATTTCCAGCAAACTCCTAATTAGTCTGGTTTCTCGTTAAAACACAGAGAAGAACATTTAAAAGCAAAGCAGATTCAAAGGATGATGCAAAGCGAGTCACCACCCCGCAATGGAAGCCAGGATCCCACGCAAATGACAAGTTCCTCTCCTCTATCCACTGACACCAGCACCCAAACCCACTGTGGTTGTCCTCTGCTCTGTGCCACCCCAAACACTGCCCCAGACCCTGATGCCTGGCTTCCTACACCCCATTGAAAAGATCTGTTCCTAAGCCAGAGGCACACAGCACCCACACTTCAGAAATATCATAGAAGGTGGAGAAGGCTGGAAGCCTCTTCTCAGATTTCTCCTGGTGTTAGCAGCCAGACAAGATGCCAACAACACCAGGAAGCTCCACTCTAGGGCTGGAGAAATGCAGCATAAGGGGAAAAGGAGCCTCAGGGCATCACCCTGAGTCCACTGTGCAATTGGTCTCTTAATTGCCTGGAGATAAGGCAATTACCATTCTGTCAAAACATCCATCTCTCTCCTGCCTGGAGACAGGGCCGGGCTTGGGCTGTGGATGTGGAGAGGACAGGGATGCTCACCAGGTGATGCTATGCTCTCTTGCTGCAGGAGAGGAGCCTGCACGAAGCACAGGACAGCAAACCTGAGGCAGAAAGCAGAGCACAAGGGGTGCCACCATGTGCCCCCAAAATGCCCAACAGGACACACCAGCAGCAGGCTGCAGTGACCTGCAGCTGGCATGGGTCTTCATCAGGCACGCCTGGGACCCAGGCCAACCCTGATGAGTCTGGGATGATCTGAAGTCAAACAAGATGAACTTCAGGGCAGGAAGGGAGGAAGGGAAGGAAATCACAGGCATGTGGCCAGATGGGAATAATTGGCCTGGCAGAACGGGGCTCCCCTACAATGCCAAATGCTTTTCCAGATCAGCTCTCATGCAGGGAAGCCTACACTGAGCACATCCAGCACTGAGCACATCCAGCACTGAGCACATCCAGCGAGAACCAGCTCCTGCTCGGAGGAACAGGTCCCATCTGGAGAGTCTGGCACAGAAGTCTCCTCCTGGAGCCCAGCATCCCAGCTGGAGAGGGCCCTGAGAGAGCCCAGAGGAGTGGGCATGAGGGAATAGCCAAGGGAGCCAAGTTTATCCAGTCTGTGGTGGGGAGAAGACACAATAGGAGACTCTAAATATAAAAAGCTCCTGCTGCCTTCCTGCCTCACATGCTCTGCCTTCCCCAGGGTCCATTATCCATTCCATCAGGCCCAAGTCACTGGAGAGGGAACACGTCCTGGTGAGTCCTGGGAACGTGGTGACCCCCCCAGCCAGGCTCTGCACCATACATAATGTTATAATTCATGAAACATACTGTAATTGTAATAATAATAATAATAATATTAAAGCCTCGAAGAAGAATAGGGAAGGAGGAAGAAGGAATATAGAATAAATATAAGAATACCAAATATGGAATAAATAAGGAAATACAAAACATGAAATACAATAAAAGGGAACATGTAACATGTATTATATTATCAACTATTAATTTAATTTCCAGTTAGATGAGGGCAATGTTGCTACTCAACAAGACACACTGTTTTATCCATCTCTCTAATCTTCTCTGTGGGGCACTGGGAGTGTGACACAGGGAGGGTTTTGGACATAAAGGATGGCTGCTAATGAGATGGAGGAACTTTGCAGGAGGTCTCAGCCACTTGGGCAGGCCCCCAAGCTGCTTCCTCCATCCATGGTGACATTTTCCTGCCAGTATCCACATCCAAGGGCCCGTTCCCACAACTTACCATCATGCTCCCTTCAGGAAACACAACTTCTCATCCTAAAGCTTGGAGTGGGACACAAACTGTGCAGTGGGGATTGATCTCTGGGGCTTTTTCCCCCCTTCCAGCACAGTCACTCACCCATTAGGTAGCTCTTCACCTTCAGGTAGCCCACAGTCAGGCGGAGGATGGAGAGTTTATCCAGCCTGGAGCGCACATCCTCGGGGAACGGCAGCAGCCCTGTCAGCGTGTGCAGCTCCTGGTTCAGCCGGTCCCGGTGCCGCTTGGAGGGGTTGGACTTCACACCCTCGGGCGGGGGTGGTTTGGGGCTGGAAGAGGCAGGGGAGAGGTTGATCAAACTGGGATTGTCCATTGTCAAACCCAGCCCTGGCTTTGGTGCAGCCACAAGAGTGAATTGGTTAAGATTTTTACACACACACACACACCTTGCTCTTCTTAGAAATCATAGAATCACAGACTGGTTTGCGTTGGAAGAGACCCTAAAGCCCATCTTGTTGCACCCCCTGCCATGGGCAGGGACACCCTCCACTATCCCAGGTTGCTACAAACCCTGTCCAACACGGCCCTGAACACTCCTAGGGATGGGGCAGCCATGGGGCAGAATGAGATGAGCTTAAGGTCCCTTCCAACCCAAACCATTCTGGGATTCTATGACTTAAACAAAGGGATATCTCATAGGGTGGTTTAGGGCACCACACTTTGAAAAGAGCCTCTCTTAAAAAAAAAAAAATTGATGTAAAAAGTTTTGTTTTCTTCCAATATTCTGATTTCTGACCCTTTCAGATGGGCATTTCCAAATTAAATCAGCATTGATGCCAAGCTTAGGCCCTGGAGGCAACCCTCAGCCTGCAAGAAGGAACAGTGTCCAGGAGAGCAGCTTGAAGCCTAAACAAGATCCTGTCTCTGTGAGCTGCAGTTATTTCACCCACCCCAGCTGAAACCACAGCACAGCAGTAAGAGCTCAGTTAATTGCAAACGAGTCCTGGATGTCACCCTGTGTCCTTTATTTTTTAATGCCAGTCTGAATTTCGTAGCTTGAAAACAAACCCTTCAGTCCCCCTCAGCTCTGTATCTCACTTGGCTGCATCCCCCACCAGGCATCTCGTTTGGTTTGATGTGATTTGTCTAACCACAAACTCCCTCTCTGCAGGCATCCTCGCTTCAGGAAGGAGCTTTGGATAACAGGATCTGCCAGTGTTTAGCAGCAATTGAAGCTCTCCCCTCTACCACCACTCTCCAATCTCATCTGGCAGGGCTGCTCACATGTGTGACACAGGAGGAAATGAGCATTAAATGAGATGCACTGAGATTCCTGTTGAATTTGCAGCTCAGAGAGAGGTTGAGGGGGTCTTTTAAGGCTGAATAGAAAATTGCAGCATTTGCCCAGGAAAGCTCAAGCCTGCTAGGTTGTAAGAGCAGCATCAGGAGGGATATCCCCTCTCGCAGGGAGGCTGGCAGAACCCAACTCCAAACTCATCCACACAAGCTGGGTAAAACATGCTGGCCACAGGGCTTTTACAAAGCTTAAACACTCTTGAAATCACAGTCAAGCACCAGGAAGGAGAAAAATTAAAATAGTTTTCCTTTGAGTAAAAGAAAAAAAAAAAAAGAGAGTGAAGAAAATTCATCTGAGATTCCTCACATATCCTTTAAAGTCTTTTGGCACCCCAACACTTCTGTTCCTGCATGTCCCAGCTGCAGCATGCAGGGTGCTCCATGGCCAGCCTTGACAGGGGGGATGCCAGTGAGGAAAATGCCTCATGGAAGCAGTGAAGCTTGCTCTAGACATTTAAAATCTGTTTCAATTCCCTTCCCTTTGGCCCAGTGGTTATGAAGCACACTGTGCCATGGGCTTCGTGGTGAAACTGGTGGCCCCTGTGCCAAGGGAAAGCTCAGCTCCAAGGCTGTGCTGCTGTTGCTGGGGTTTTGTTTTTCCCCAGCTGCTCTTTGAACGGGAGCCCTATAGGAAGTGTATCCCTTCTGCAAGCTGGCAAGTACAAAGGGAGATTATTCCTGACAGTGGAATTTGCCTGATCTGTTTTCTCCTAATTCTTGTTCATAGTCTTTTTTTAGTAGGTAAAAAGCCCTGAGCAAGCTGCGAAGAAGCAGGAGAAGCCTCTCAGCCCATCCTCCCCATCCCCTCTGGCTGGCTGCACATCCCACTGCCACCAGCCCTCCTCTGCTTGGCCTCTCCCAGCAGGATCCTGCTCCAAGATCTAACCCATCACAGAGAAAAAGACTCTGTTCCCATTCCCAAGGTTGGCCCAAGGGAATGAGGACCCTTCTGCTCCAAAGAGACACCTTCTCCTGCACCCTGAGCCACACCAATCCAGCCCAAACCCTCAGGCTGGTATTCCAGAGGGCTGGAATCACCGCTCCAGGATGAACAGGAGACAGGTTTGTGGCAAAACAACTATTCTTCATGTTTCCAGAACAACACTATCAAATGAATACCCAAGAGAGGCTCGAGGTTATCTCACTACAGGTTTAAAGCATTGATGTTCCCTCCTTCATCCCGGACTTGGACTCAGCTAATCCACGTCCTCCTCCACAGCCTCCCAGAAACAGATATCCACCTTTAGTTCCTCTACACCTGGAAAAGTTGAGGTTAAACAGGCTGGTGGGACTTGGGAGCTGGGGAAGGCATGAGGGAGGCAAGACACACCGGGGACACACCGAGGGGGATGTTATGCAACAGCTACTGAGCGGCGTGGTGATTAATAATTAAGGAATCGAGATGTTTTGGTAATTACTAATCGCCGTATGTTTGACTTAGACACCAAAACACAGCCCGCAAATCGCTGCTCAGCTCAGCTCAAACTCTCCGGCAAGCTTCCCTCATCGGGATGCAGGACAAGCATCTTTGGGATTTCTGTTCTCCCACCAGCGTGCCAGAGCCGACACAGCGTTAGCTCCAATTAACCCTGATTAAAACCGAGTAACCCAAGCATTCTGCTCCCTTTCGCTCCCCCAGCGCTCGCACCAGAGCGGCTCCAAGCGCTTCCCCAGAACCAGCTGGGCTCCCGCTGCCCGGCTTTCGCTCGCCCTGCCCGGGGTGACCGGGGGGAGCCCCCCTCGCTGCACCCACCTCTTGGGCACCGGCTTCTTCCTCTTCCTGCCGGCGTACATCCCGGGCAGCGGCAGCGCCCACCGCAACGGCGGCACCGCCGGCACCGCGCCCGGGGCGGAGTTGCGGGGCACTGGCCCCGGCCACGCCCCTGGGTGGCCACCGCGCCCGGGGGACACTGGCCACGCCCCCGGGACACCAAATCCTGGGCAACGCCGCGTCCGTGGGAGAGGCTCCGCAGCGGACGGTAAATCCTGGGAAAGGCTGTGCCCGTGGATCGCTGTCGCCAGGTGACACCCTAGTCCTGGGAACACTGAGCCCCAAGGGCCATCCTCACACCGAATCCTAGGGAGCACTGTGCCCGTGGGCCGCCATCCACAGAGGAGACCAAATCCTAGAAAACACCGTGCACCTGGGCCACAATCCTCAGGGGATATTAAATCCTGGAAAACACCGTGTCCACAAGCCATTCTTTCCAGGGGCCACCAAATTCCCAAGGGGTCACCAAATCCTGGGAAACACCATGACTCTAAACCACCATCCTATGCACAAGTGACACTGAATCCTGGGAAACTTATCTGTGGGCCACCATCCTCAGGGAACATGGGTTGTGGGAAACACTGTGCCCATGGGCCACCATTCCAGAGCCTGACATTCTCGCTGGTGCCCCTTCAGGAAAAGCCAGCCTGTTCCCTCTCACTTTGCTTTTCCCCGAGTTAATGCTGGCCAAAGATTTTGCTCTTCCCCAAAAACCAACTCCAGCTGCTATGGTGACGCCCTGGCACAGGCTGGCCAGGGAAGCTGTGATTCCCCATCCCTGGAATCAAGCCCAGGATGGACAGGGCTTGGAGCACGCAACGGGTCTGGCAGACAGAGCTGTTAAGGAAACCCCAACGCATCCTTTGTGGATTGTTTGGTTGGGTTTTTCAAGCTGTTTGCAAATTCCAGGGAAAAATCCTTGAAATGCAACTTGACTGCTTCTTGCCAGGGGGCAGAGCAGAAGCCGCTAATGGTGTCACAAATGTGGCAGGTCAGCAGAGCTGATGTCGCTGTGATGGGAAACGTGTGAAACGTTTGGTTATGACCTTTCCAGGCCCAGTAACTTAACAGTGCTTTTAAATGAGGTTACTGCATGTGTTCCAAGCCTAAAAGCTCGGAGATGTTGGTCAAGCACCCGAAGCAGTGTGCGGAGGGAATTGAGACAACTTGATGTGCAGGTATTGGGAACAGACGTAGCCCAGGCTCCCTCCTGCGGGGATCTGCGGGCAGACACAGTGCCGGCATCCTGTCCGTGCCTTATCTCGCCTGCTCCCTAACGCGGCTGTCCCTTATCCCGCCTGCTTCCTAACTCGGCTCTCCCCTATCCCGCCTGCTTCCTAACTCGGCTCTCCCTTATTCCGCCTGCTCCTCAACCAGGCTGCTCCCGGTCTCCCCTAGTCCCTAACCCGGGCCAGTCCCTATCCCGCTTGCTTCCTAAGCCGGTGGTTCTCAGTCCTCCGCGTTGTCCCCCGTCCCCGCTGTCCTTGTCCCCGCTGTTCCCGTTCCCGCTCCCGCCAGAGCCCACACGGGCCGTGGGCGTGGCCTCCTGTGAGGGGCGGGACTAGGGGGCGTGGCCTTGCAGCGCCTTCGTCACATCGGGGCACCGCCTCTCCGCCTGACGTCATCACCTGGCGCCGCCGCCCTCAGCCCGGCACCGCCATGTCCTTGTGGGTGTCCCGGCTCGGCCGGGCCGCGGCCGCGCGGGGCCAGCGGGGGAGCTCCGGGCTGGGCAGCGTCTCGCTGGCCTCCGTCCTGCCCGGGGTGAGTGGGCTGCGCTCCATCCTGCTGGGGGTGAGCGGGCTAGGGCTGCCGGCTGGGCTCCGTCCTGCCCAGGGTGAGCGGGGAAGGCTGGGTAGGACTCTGTCCAGAGCTCTGTCCTGCCAGGGGTGGGTGAGCTGAGACAACCTGGGGCCGGGGATGCCTCTCCCCGCGGCTGGGTTGTCCCTTGGGAAGGGATATCCCCAGCAGGGATCTAGGAAAGGTGGCGAAATGCGAGGCAGACTGGAGCAAATGCGGGAGAGTGGCGTGCAACGGCCTTCGGTTGTGGCTGTGGCCAGTGGTGCTGCGGGGAAAGGAATGTTCAGTAGAAATGAACGCCCCTGTGTATAAGGCAGGTCACTGCACCGCTCAGAGTGAGGTTGGTACAGTGTTTAGCCGGGTCCGTGGCAGGCTCTGAGCAGGGCACAGAGAGGCCCTGCCTTCAGCCCCACAGTCCAGGGGGTCCTTCTTGCCACCTCTCAGAGATC